TGCACTTCAAGTTGATTACAAATTGGTTGCACAGTAAAAAAAAAATATATATGTTGGGGAATTTGCGAACACTTTTATGATGCTGTGGCCTGTGACCTTTGACCTCTTACATGCAGTCGCAGTATCTAATTGTTTTATCCTCAAAAGTTTTATTAAAGTTACTTGAATACATGTTCATGTACATGTAGTTCTCCAGTTATCCTGATAATGACCTATTTTGGGAGAATTTTTTCTACACTTGATCTTTGACCTTATACAGTACATCCACACTCTAATCAAACTATCCTTGAGGATCAGTATATTATATAAGGTACATACTAATATTTTTTTTTTCTTCTTCTGTGTTTATGATTATGATATACTTGTATTTGTACTATGTTACCATGTCAAATTATTTATGACTGTTATTTTTGATGTATCACTCATAGGCCTTTTTAGGCCGGCCATCTGATGACGGGTGTGATTTTTTAATAAAGAAATAAACTAAACTAAACTAACTACTACTTGATCAAAGTTTGGTAATTTTGATAAAAATTCCAAACAAACTAGCGTGCATTTGCAAGTATGAAGTGTTTCTTGCTTGATTTACAACTTTATAAGTCAGTTTTTATTTCTTCCATTACTATCTTTGAAATACTGTGGCATTTGTTTGTGTTAAGTTTGTTTTTGTTCATTTCTTTCCCTTTTCGATATCAGAGCTCGCTTGGTGTTGAGCTACCTGGTGTATACGGTGCACAACGAAAGGACCGGTGGTGCTTGGTTAGAGAGGCAGGTACGAGAGAGAGATGGAGGGAGAGAAAAGAACAGCTGAGTTCATGCATGCCAGTAAGTCTGGAGTACTGGGGTGTAATGTGTAAACAAAATCGGTGTGTGGCAAGTGCTCTGACAGTGATTAATTACACACTAAAGTCTTGTTGGACTTTGCGGTGTGAATTCAGTGCCTTTTCTTTGGAACAGTTCTGGGAATTTGATTGACTTGAGTGGAAATAACACACATGTTCATGTACATGTACATGAAGAAAAATTGGGACTTCTTTTTATCATCCCCAAGGTTATTTGACACTTGTGGCATTGACTTTAGCGAGGTTGACTGTATATATCCATCAAGATGGCTGTGTATGTGTAGGGGGTGGGGGGGGGGGGAGAGGGACTTGTGCTATTTCAGAACACACACACACAAATTATGAGGTCACATTTATTCACAATACAAATGTACAAACCTCCTGATAACAGTTTTCTTTGTTGGTGCCAAAAAGAGTTCCTCATTATCTGAAGAATTTGACTCTGAATCCAAGCGCAGAAGCTCGTGACCCTCCTTCGAGCGCTTGCTCTTCCCGTTCTTCTTTCCGTTAGGCATGGTTAGGAGTGCATCCAACTCTTTGCGTTTTTTCATTCTTTTCGTTCCCCTCGAAGAAGAATTTTTGGGTCCGCCCTGTGGCTCCAGATTTGATACTTTTTCTTGCTGTCACTGGGACACTGAAGGTGTGAACATATCCATCCAGGACCTCCTGAAAAAAAACGATATGATATAAATGAAAGAAATGTTTGAAATACAAAGATTCCTAACAAAACTGTGAAAGGGATATCAGTTGACGTACATGTACAGCAATCTGTAGGGATTTTTTAGCCTTATTGGTTCCGAAATTTCTAAAGATTTTGAAACTAATGTCTATAGAGCAAATTCACCAAATGTAAAGTGCTTCAGGAATATTCTCTGAATAAAACTACAACAAAACAAAATTGAAAAATAAAAATTGCCTTGATTTCCTGATTTATATCAAGTTTTTTTAAAACCTACCAGTACTTTTTAAAAGCCTGTCCTAAGTAGCCTAGTCCTAAGGCTTATATTTTTATACACATTGATATACATGTACATGTGTACTTAAAAATAAACTTGAGTTCTGGTAAAAAAAAGAAAATGAATTCTCACAGAATCTAACAAAACTTACACTGAATGTTCAAGATTACAAATAAATGTCATGTGCCAAACAATTTTGGAAGAAAATGTATACTGGCTGAGTAATGAGCATAGAAAGATAAGGAAATCAGGGTAGTACTAGCCCCGACACCATGTGTGTTGTCCCATATACATCTTTCTGTGTAAGTGATTGTTACTTTACCTAGACTCTGCCAAATTTATGATGATTTTGATGACTCCAGAACCTTGCATTACACACCATTACATGCTATATGATCAACTTTTCTGATCCATTCCACACCTTTTCTTTCACAATGCAATCGCATTACCAGAACTCAAGTTTATCTTTAAGTGCCAAACTGCCAATCTTTCCAATGTCGCATATTTTGGCGCAAAAGTCATGTTCTCAAAAAAAAATTGTATTCATTCATTTTCAATTACAACCACTTAGATGTACCGGTAAAGTCAGGGAGTTAATCTATGTGTGTGTGAAGTGCTCTTTGGTGTGTGTGTGTACTGTAGATGATATTCTTTAAATTCTTGATTTTCTCAAAAATTTAGAAGTGTCCAAACTCCAAAGTTTGATTGGTTTACTATGAAAAAATTATTTGTGTTTATACATTTAGGTAGAATGTATGAAATCAACATAAAAAACGATTTACCTGGCATTCTAAGGAGTGGTGGTTGTGATTGAAAACAAACTAAACTCTGTATGACTGTAGGGCTCACACAGAATCAAGTTGTACTTGGGTTCTGTGTGCACTCTATTCTATGCGAGTGGGCACGCGTGCAATAAGTACCGGTAGTCTACTCAACAAAATGTTTTTGTTTCGATGTTTCTATCTCTTTTAGCATAGAGAAAAAAATGGAGCAGTAAGCTCTCAAATTAACTTTCAAAAGCTCCAAAATCGCGTGTGTGTTAAGTTAGCGACTGTGATCTTAGCAATTCATTACGGTCACTAACTTAACAGACGCGCGCCCGCATCCCACCGACATTACAGTATGCAATTGTATTGTGCAGCAGTTGCTGTGAATCCCGTGAGACGGTGTATATTATACATTAAATCTTTGTTTTTAGGAAAAATACAAAAAGGGTAAGATAATCAACACAAAATAGGTAAGAAACATAACGACTTTTAAATCATGACCATTATTTAAACAATTGATGAAGATTTAGTCTATTTTCGGTATGTTTTAGTAGGGTATCTCCACGCCGGAGTTAATGTACAGGTCAAAGTGTGGATACACTTCTGAACTAGCGCCAAACTTTCTTCAGACTAGACTCATTCACATCTCCATCAAAATATTGTTCTTAAAATAGTGATGGAACGGAGAGAGAAAAAGAGAACAAAAAAAGAAAAAGGAATAGAAGAGAAGGGAAGTGAAGAAAAGAGAAGAGAGAAGAAATAAAATAATTTACAAAGAAGAAGCCAAGAGCTGAGCATTAACAAAACTGAGAACATAAGAAGAATAAGAACAAGATTATTTGACAAGAAGAACAAGAACAGAAGAAAAAACAGAAGCAGAAGGAAAAGAACAATAACAAGAACAAGAAGTTAGAACAAGGACAAGAAGAACAAGAACAAGTGGAGGAGGAGGAAGAAAAAAGATGAAGAATAAGCAAAGCAAAACAACAGCAGCAAGAGCAACAAAACCACTATTTTTTAATATTTTTTTTGGATCCACACGTCAAATTGCAAACAGCGTTTTCTACAAGTGGGACCATGTTCTTCTTCCCCACACAAATCGGGTTTTCATGAGCAAATCCCTCCAATATCAAAATTGGAATTACCTCAAAGTTGACTACATAAATGATTATAAGGACAACATATGATATAAGCTACGTTATATTTAATACTTACAAATCCGATTGAAGTCGATATATCTTCGTCGGCGAGTGTACATCTGGCAAATTCCGTGACACTCGACTCTTTGCTTTCAGGACATGACAATCAATCAATCCGAGTTAGCTATTCGATCGATCCTTCTGAAATTCGTTTCAATAACCGTACCGACATTGCTATGATATCCGATATTTGTTCTTGGGTGGCGATGACATCATCAGAATCCGGAAATGATAAAGCATTTGTGCGTGTGTGAAGGGGTGTCTTGAACCGAGTCTAATACGTCTAGTCTAGCATGCCAGACAAGTTATTACTAAAGCAAAAGATTTGGTTGTCTGGGGCCATATCCTGAAAACATTGTCATCTTTCATGTAAGGGAAAATTATATTGATTCTCATAACACTTACCATAGCATAAGTGCTTGTGCGATGTCTGCTTTTTATCTTTATGTGAACGCAGCCAGGTTTGTAATTTTGTTCTAATTTTGATTTATGATAATAAAGATCCTCTTACGCTTTAGAGCCTTCGGTGATAAGTGCTTTATAAGCAACATTTTTATTATTATTTATTATTTCTAACAAGAAAGATAACATTGAACTCAAAATATCAACCCTGGATTCTAATAGTTTTGTATTCACTATATCGAGTGCCAATTGATAAATCCCTGCAAATGGCTCGCACACAGCCAAGGTTTTATATAATCTTTTATTTTCTTCATACATTTACCTATGAAATGCCTGGTAAAGTTGTTGGAAGTTCTTCTTCTTCTTCTTATATGGATAATCTGAAGTTGATTTTATACATTCATTTACACACTAATTACTTTATCAGGTGATTGGTTCACTTTAATTATGTTAACAACTAATTACTCAGAGAGATGAAAGACAAATAAAAAACCAATGTTACAGCAAAATTATTCATGGAAGTGTATTAGGAGATGAAAATAGAAAAGGAACAAAAAAGGGGGTGGACCAACAGATGGGGAGATTTATATAAAAGGACATAATATAGAGAGTAAAAAAAAGTATCTGATATCACTGGGAACGTAATAATACATGTATTAACTTTAAAATGAAGACATTTTTATATCTTTATTGGAAAATTCATCAAAGTGATATCATTTGACTATCTCAAAACACATTGAAATAATATTCATCTTCTACAAATGTCCTCCTTTTTAGAAACACCCCTGTAAGAAACAACATTCAAACTGAATTAAAAGCAGTCAAACACTCAAGTAATGGAACATGTATTTTATTCTTCATTTTTCAAAGCAGAAGAGACGGACGTTCAGAAAATTGCAAAAATAAGAGTAACTGAAGCACAAACTGAACTGTAAATTCTTCCTTAACTTCATAGATGTTGTTTTACTCTTGATTTGTTTTTAAATAACATTACTCTCTATATCTTGCAAATTGGTCATGAAAAAAACACACTAAACGACACATATTCTCTATAAATTATTTCGATACTGGTAATCCAATGGTGTACTTAAATAACTCTGGTGACCATGTGAATGATTTGATTTTCAAATCAACTATCTGAAGATGCTCATTTGAGTTGGAACAAATAGAGGTATCCCTAAATCCCTTTAGGTAAAATCCTAATAAAAACTGCACGCTGTAGCTTAAGTTAAGAATGAATGCATACGAAATTACGAATGGTCATACTTTTGATGAAGTTACCATCAATGTGGCAGTATTGTGTGTATGTATGTTGTGAAGTGTTATTACAAAATTCTTTTTTTAATTTACTGAGACTTCTTCAATTTACACTAGAGCTCTGGTATCAAAGAAATATAATCTGGAAAACAAAGTTGTTATGATTCTACCTTTTAATTCAACCCATTTACTTGTTTGTTGATATAATAGAGTAATAGTTCCTGAACTTAAATGCTTAATCTGAAGCAGAAAAACAATCCTAACTGCACTATCACTTGCTTCAATTTTGGGTTTCTGTCATCATATGGTCCTTATACATGTACACAGGTGGAATGAATTATGGTAATATTTTTTTCATTGTCATTGTACAAGTCTGAACAAAAATGAAGTGTAGCAGATCAAACATTTAGAGGAAAGTTTCAGGAAAAACTCTCCCCTTTTTTATGATCTAATAGATGGAGATTGTAACAATGGCTTAAAGGCAAATATTCATTTGTCAGGCTGTAGTGTAAGTCACAAATAAAAGACCCCAAATGAAGCTTCAGAAAGAATCTTTTAATCTTCAACATGACATCTACATTCCTTTCTAATTCGTTCCGAAAAACATATCATAAACACACAAAAATGTGGTGCACTATACTCCATACTATAATATCGGCACTAGAAACTTTACAATACACATAGTACACTTTTTTTGGCTTAGTTGTGCATTAGCCAAACTAAGGAGTTCATTCTTTATAAGAAAAAGAAAAACAAGATATATAAAAATCAAATATTGCTTGTTCCAGACTTCATTCTGTAACAAATATCTAATCAGCACAATAGCATTGTTTTGTGAAGAAAGAAAGTAAATTATAAAGAAGATGGATAAAAATGAGAGATTAAATAATAATAAGTGTATAAATATGTGCTCACTTCCACTTCTGTATTATGATTTAATCCAGTGAAACAGTGAACAATTCTTCCAGATTCTTGACTGTACAGGATATACATTCATCGTTTATATCAATACTTGTAAGTCATACAATTCAAACATTCCAACAGGACTGTCAAAATTAGAAAAAATCTCAGTGGGTTTGTTAAGTCTGAGCAATGTAGTTGCATCAGAAGTCAAATTCATGCCAATCAAAGCTTGCAAATTCATTTGGTAACTAAACCACCTTCCCAGGATACATTAATCTTCTGTTTGGCGAGACAGTGTTTGAGTAAGCTTTTCCAGCTTGGCTAACAAATGAGACCACCTTGAACTACCTACCATAAATTACAGTTTCAAAGTCTTAAATTACATTTCAATTTCATAGAATTAACATTTTTTTCATTTGATTCCTCAAGATTAAACATCATTACAGTGTAACATCTTGTTATTTTTGTCCTTTTATGGACATGTAATCTGTTATTCTGGTAGAATAAGGAGTTTTACAAGAATTACTGCCTTTATATAATAATGTGATAATTTCTCCATCACTACAAGTTTCAAGTTTCAATTTTTACACCTTTTTTTTACATCATCAAAAGAGATTTGAAGATGGTTTAGTTTCTAGGTTCCTACAATAAATCAGTTCTGTGTGCACCGACATGTTAAATATCACACAGTGTATACAAGACGGATTCCATATTGTTGCATAACCCTCAGGATTAAGCCCTTACAGGTTTGTGTTTTTTTTTTTGGTTGAATTTCCCTTATTAATTTTACAGTCCTAAACAAATGAACATGAAAAAGAATTACAATAATAATATACAATCCTTGAGGGGACACAACACCCAGATATAATAATCCTTCTATCTTCATCATTACTATTCTCTTGTATTACTGGAATCTTTGTGTGGCTGTTTGATACAGAGGCGACTAATCTAGTTGTATAGGTCATCATCCTCGTTGTCTTGATAGAGATTAGGATTGCCTCCCCCAGACCCTGGGGTGCCCTGACCAGCTGGTTGACCACTTTCTTCTGGGAATCTGCACATAAACAAGAGATGAAAATGGACCATTATAATGCTGGATATAAAAGAATACGTTTCAGCTTAATGGTAACAGCCACATATCCCAAATGGAAAAAAAACCTAAACTTCTTGAATTGTAAAAGAAGAAATTCAATTCAGGGCTATTTTCTTGATCTTTATCATCTCACACACATTTTTGTCTTTAATTTGTACTTTAAAGTTATAAGTGTGACCTGTTTTGGATATTTACCAAATTTGGCAAAAGGTAACAATTCTGGATAGAAGCTAAATTTCATCAGATTCAAAGTTTAATTACTCAATCTATTCTATTTTCATGGCATCCATACATGTATGTCTCATTTCAAATCTCACTGTTGTTTTGTATTCACTATTTCTTGATTTGATCTGCTCAACTGACCTGAAATTGGTACCGAATCCTCTGCTCTGCTGCAGTGTCTGTGAGAACATCTCGTACTTGCGGATGTCGTTGTCGCTGACCGACCGACGAGCATACTTCATGGCTTCCACAAAGTGCTCCTTGGTGATCTCTGGGACTGGATCGTCTTCATCCGTCTCCTTCAAAAACAACAGGATACAAAATATGAACAAATCATATCAGCACTGTAAACCCATTGACTCCTGGAACCAAGTGGCTCCAGTATTAAGTCTATGGAAATTAAACAATTCAGTAGCCAACAGGTAAGGCATCGTTCAAATGTGCCAAGGTAAACAACCAGTGCAAAGTTAACCACAGGTGCGCTAAACATTTCTGAATCTTATAACATGCAAGACACGTGCAGCTGTTGTATTTATTTGCAACCATCGCAAGGCCTTTCTGCAAGCATCGTAAATGCTATTTGGTGATGTTCACAGCTATAATGAGCCGTAACACATTGCACAACAGTTGCAAGCCACCTGCATGGAGGTTTTAAGTTCACCTCAAAAGGATTCTTTAATGTAAGGGGGAGGGGAGTTGTGAGGAGGGCACAAGGTGCACACGAGGGATTGTAAGAATGACGTGCGAATCGCTGGAATTAACCTAGGACCAAACTGCAGCTGCCAACACACACTTGCAAAAAGACGCACAGTGAATTGTTACCATGACATTAGTTCTAGTCTTGGGTCCAGGGTTACGGTTAAGAATTCAAACGGAAACAGAAAATGAAAGCAAAGGAATTGTTGCCAGAGGATACGTCACAAGGAAATGCGAAGGATAAGATATTGGTACGGGTTACTTTTCCTGCGAGGTCAAGGTTCGAAGCCAGTAACTTGTTTAGATTAAGAAATTGACCACAGAGTAACTGTTACCAGAGGGCGTGTCGTAAGCTCTAAAAAGAAATGTTGCAAACGTACCATGTCGAGGTCTGGGTTTGCCACACGTTCCCTCTGTTTCCTGATTTCCACCTCAATGCTCTGGCGGATGGCTAGCTTGCAGGCACGCTGGCAGATCTCTGTCAGATCAGCACCACTGAATCCCTGGGTGACCTTGGCAAGATATTCCACGTCAACTCCCTACAGGCACAAGAAATCAAGAGTACAAAAATGTCAATTTAAAACTAACTTTTAGACCTCACAGTGAACCTCACCAGGATAACATTCTGTGAATTGTTGTCATAATAATAATAATAATATTGGATTCTTATATAGCGAATGTATTGACCTTGCAAAGGTCCTCAAGGCGCTCCAACATTACTCGGCTATGCTAGGCTGCCGATTTCGACGCTCACAGCATTTTAAGGAATTCCTTCCTACTGGTACCCATTTAACACCTGGGTGGAGAGTGGCAAATGTAGATCAATGTCTTGCCAAAGGACATTAGTGCCGCGGCGGGACTCGAACCGCGGACCTTGTGATCGACAGTCCGGCGACGTATCCACTCATCAATGGTAAGTTTAGGCCAGCCAATCGTAAAAGCACTGAATATTCTGATCACACCACGGTCCCACTGATTGACTTGGAGCAGATTTTCTTTTAAGTAAAACAAGTCCAGTTCAGGACAAGATGTCACAATCCCTAAAGACAGATGTTATCAGAAAGCATTTTTCTCAGCAGGACTTTTCTCAGCCCCGAAAGATGGTTTGGTTAATGCCATTTCATCATTTCACATCTATTTTCGATAATAACAATTATGTTTGTGAATACTTCAATGCTCTTTCCAATCTTTATTATAATTACCCCTTGGGTGCAGAGTGGCAAATGTAGATTGATGTCTTGCCAAAGGAGATTTGTGCCCAAGAGTGTAAAATATACTCTCTTCTTTTCACGAGAGCTCTTCTAGGTTTTGATGTGGTATTAGTGCGATTTACTCACAATGATATTTAAGTATTTGTTTGTTTTTTGTAACCAGAGCTCTTTTAGAGCTTTTCAGAGCTACATCACTCACTGATCCCAAAATTTGCCATGAGGCCTAAAAAAAAAAAAATGATGTATTGCCCTTTAGGTGCCAAAATATGGGTCGGTCGGTTGGAAATCTTCTTTTTTTTTTTTACTCCCTCTTCGGGCTGATATATCTCAGTTTTGAATCCTTTAATACATTTTTTTCTAAAAACGGTAACAAAAAAATGAAGTTAAAAGCTGACCGCAGATTTCAAGATTTTTGGGTCGGTTGCTAAGGGCAATACAACATTATTTTTTTTTAGGCCTGATCCCAAAGCATCTAACTTGGTCTTACCTTATCCACAGGTGATTTCCTGAGGTTTGCATTTAGGATTGAGATCCTGGAGGGCTCATCTGGCAAGGGGATGTAGATAAGCTGATCTAGACGTCCTGGACGTAGGATGGCAGAGTCTACGATGTCTGGCCTGAAAGATGAAAATATGAATAGACCAGTTCGTAGTTAGCACACGGTAAAAATGACCCCAAATATCCACACATCTATTTAACATGGAAAAGTCTCATTTTGAGCGTCAGGAGGTGCTTCATGAATACATTTTGTTTGACCTCTTGAGAAGAATACTTCCACCTGTGTATCATAGAATGTACTGCAAGTTAATGAATGAATAATGATTACATAACTTTCATGTGCACGTTTCTAGTATTCACCTCGTTTGGTTTTTACAAATGACGTTTATTCTGCCCATGCACAGATTGTATCTACAACTGGCCTATAGGACTAGCTGTACTAAAAGATTGAACACAAAGAGTGATCCTCTGCACTGAAATTGAAATGTTATAGCCCTGAACTGACTCCAAACCAATGTCTATCAACATTTTCACCATTTGGGATTATTACAAAAATTATCTTGTCTATTTTCAGTTTGGTTTCAGTCTCATCTGGTATCACTTTTTCTATGGGAAAATTCCACTAAGGGAAGGCAACTTTATTATCACTCGCGTTCGTCCGGGTTCAGGACGATCGCGTTCCCTCCTTTGTTAGCAGAACGCGACTGTCCTTAACGCGTAAGGTAAGGGGGATTAAAACCTTCTCCATTCATCGCGTACCCTCCTTTGTTTAGAGACCGCGAGCGTCCCAAATGCGTCCCCAATGAAAGGGGCAAGAATGGGGGATTATCTTACATAATATTACATAATTCTTGAGAGGAATAGGGTTTCTATTTGTCGCGCTAAGAGGGGCAAGAACTCGTTTAATCACCTTGCCAGTAAAATTCCTTCCTTCCAGCGATCGGAAGGCTTTCCCCATTTTAAATGAAATGTAAATGAAATGAAAATTGTGTGAATCGCAATCAATGCAGAGGTCCGTTGTTTGAGGTTGCGAGAGAATGGGAGAGCTAGAGGTAGAGGGACGTAGACATGCATGTTTTGTTCTTTGAAATATTTACTCTACGAGACTATTATGTATTTTTTTATATGTCATCTATTTTGGACGTTTAGTCTTATGAAAACTGGTTTTTGAATGAATGATACTACGCCGCGGCCGCCTTGTAGCGACCAGGAGCGCGCGCTAGAACAATTTCTAATTTGCATACCCTGTGCCGCCCATTGAACCCTGGGAAGGGTAATAGACATTCTGATATTTCTATCGATCTTTTCGTGGGTACAATGAAAAGGCACAAATGAAGTAGAAAGTTGGATTGATAACCGTATCTTGGAAATGTTGTATAATCAACACCCAAGTTCAGACAGACCGCGATATTTACGATTGTCAGCCTACGCCTTTGTTCTGAGAGCGCGGACTTGTGGCGGGAATGTCATAATAAATCTGTCATTATTTGTATGTCGTTGTTGCGACTGGACAATGGTGAGGAGAATTTTTGTTCTGATAACAAAAACAGATCGAACAATTCCCCTTTTAATTCGGGTAATACACCTTGAAACACTCTCTCTCTCGATAGTAGTAAATCCATTTGTATCTCAAATCAACACTATTTCCTTTCTTATATTATCTTTCTCTGCAGGCCCTCTCTACGACCCTTTTTTTTGTTAGCCCTCTCTCTCTCATCCAGTCACCTTTCTAATCTCTCTCTACCACGTACTATCTCTCTTTCTTTAATCAACACTTTCTTTAGCTATAGTGCGTCCCATGAGAAAACGAAACGGAGAATTATCGATGTTTTATGATAACTTAATCAAAATTATAATAAATAAATGACACATATTTGTACAGGAATGACAAGGTTCCGTTTGAGTAATGCTTGCATTTCCATTATTTCCATAACTCCTTATATCAAATGAAAGAAGAGGATCTAAGCTTTACCAATATGTGTCATTTATTAATTATAACTATGATTAAGTTATGATAAAACATCGACAATTCTCGGCTTCGCGTTTTCTGAGGCGCACTGTATAGGTCGATTGCTTATCTGAAATGAGGCGTCATGTCAATCAACACCAAAGTTCCAAAACATCGCGTATATTTAACATCGTTACAGGTCTTCGTAATGCACACCCTCCCCAATTTAAATGCAATTCCGAGAAAAAAATATATGATAAAATTAAGTTTGTATTTAATTGAAGAAAAAAACAAGAAAACAAGAATTATTTAAAAGAGATTAGAGGGGGCAGATAAAGTAGGTGAAGGAAAAAATATTGAATTTCAAGATAAAGAAATCGGGAGATGTATTAAAGAATGAATTCGCAGTCTTGAACACAATTCAAATGTCTAATTTCAATGAAATTCTGAAAAAACGATATAATAACGTTATCATATTATAGGCCAAATAAAAAACAAACATGTTTAGCGTCCTGTTTTTTCGAATAATAGAAAGGAGGCCCTTTTTTTTTTTCCTTTCAAAAAAAAAAATAGGAGGCGGCCCCCCCGAAAGGAAGCGGGCGGGGACGCTAAACATGTATATTTTTTTACATGGCCTTAATCATTGAAAACAAAATCTAAGAGATGGAATTACAAAATTAGATGAAGTAAGTGATGAACAGGAGCGTAGGCAGGATTTTTTCGCGGGGAGGGGGGGGGGGTTAAATTGCGCCGAAAATTTTGCAATGACAGGCGGGGGGGAGGGGGGTAAGAGCACATTTTTTGTGTGTGTCCAGGATTTGATGTTTTGGGGTTCACCCATAAGCACACACAAAAAACAAATGAGAAGGGGGGTACCCCCCCCCTCCCTCTCACTGCGTACGCGCCTGGTGATGAAGATATAAATAAAGAAATACTAGAGTTCAGGAAGAAAGAAAGGATCGGGAGACGGAAAGATGGCAGCCGCAGGTAAAAAGGGCGACTAAATAAATACGAAAATGCATTGTACAAAATAAATCAAGGAAGGCAAAGATAGATCCACAACTTCACTTCACTCATTCTGGACACGTTGGAACTTAACATTTCATCACTATCTGTTATTTATTTGAGAAACCAACTACTACTACCAACTATGAGTGAGCAATCACTCATCACATGGCCTTGGTCGATGATACATAATACCATGGACCTAATACAGACATAATCCAATCTTATCAAAATGTCTCCCCTTTGTTCAGCTCCGATCCATTCTTGGCGGCCTAGCCCTTTCATGTTTGCGCGCTCTCCATCAGACATTCCCCTCTCTTTCTCTCTCTCTCTCTTGCGCTGTCTCTTTCGTGAAGTTATCTTCTCCTCCTCCTCCCCCCCCCCCCCCCCGAAAAGATAAGCGTGGGAAAACCTCTCTCTCCCTCTCTTCTCTGTCACATTCACTCGAGGTCATTCACTCGGCCCATAAATGGCTTTGTTTTTGTTTACATTAGCTCAGAGGCGGCTTCACAAGTCATGAACGAACTGACTAGTATGTCTGGTTACTATACTATGCAGTCAATCAAAATGTTCAAATTCATTTGTGGCTTCATGTTTTCATATCGGGCAATAAAAAAAGCTCCAAATTATGATATTTAACAATAATTTTTAACATAAGTATGATATAGTGAGATCCTACTCAAACTCGTGAATTTCTCATTTTTAAAGAACAATTTCCAGCAAATTACAAAATTTGTAATTTGCTGGAAATTGTTCTATATGAACTGGCCATGTTAATGACGCGGGCGTACGAACACATCGACAGCTCTTCAGAGTTTCTATCAATTGCTTTGGTGTCTCGGAGTCGACGGGTGTATATGTCATTTTGAGACGGAGAATTTATTTTACTCGAATATAAAGTAAAAGACTTGAAGAAATTTGAGTACTGCAATTTTTGTGAAAATAAGAAAATGCAATATTGTTTTTAATATAAGGAAAATAATTACAGCTTTAAATACATGACTTGGTCTAGCTCGATAAAAATCCAAACAACTATGGTCATATTCATTTTTTTTTCTTCGTAACATTGGATAACAAATTTCACAAATTCCAACATACTATAAATATTGATAATCTAGATTTATTTAGTGCAAGGGTAAATATGACAATGACTCGGAACATAATACAGGGATAACAATTAATCAAATTACTCTTAATACTTGTAAACGATTTTTTTTTTTTTTTTTTTTTAGGGGGGCGGGGTCAAATTTTCCCTCGTGTCGCGCCACGCCTTTTTAATTTCTTGGCGAGAGGCCTGATTATGCATAGAATAAAAAAAAATCAACAAAAGGGCAAAGTAAAACAACAGGGAAGCAAAGTTACATATCTACATCTTCACTTGTAAGGTACTACTACTAGCTACATGCATGCAATGTAAATCCTTATTTTTATTTCTATATTTATTTTGTAAAAACACTGACTTTTCTGCTGTGACTTTACATAAAACTCAGACTTTACAGAGCTGCCAAGCAGAACGTTTTTAACGTACTATTTATACGTTTTTTTAAGGGAAAATACGTATTTGTTTTGCTGTGCTAAAATTGTAAGTTCAGAGTACAGGCCTTAAATTTCGTCATTTTTAGGGCAAGGCCAGTTTGGCCTCGAGTACCTCATATTTTTAAGGGCACCAAGGCCAAAATATTTTTACAAAAAGGGCATCGAGGCCAAAATATTTTACAAAAAGGGCATCGAGTATGAGGCCAAAAAAATTGATTCTATTTTTGTTAGATGTCATGTGTATTTTATGAAACTTGTGCAGGATCAATTTCCCATGACTTTTAGCACCAGCTTCTTCACAGAATGTATAGAGGTCTACGGTACATACAAACAAGCAGGCGCGTAGCCACGGGGGGGGGGGGGGGGGGGGGGGGGGGGGGGGGGGGGGGGCACATGCCCCCCCTAAAATTTCCAGGATCGGTTGAAATTTTGTAGACCCCTTTTTTTTACCTCGATCGATTACATGTATGTGCCCCCCCAAACACCAAACTCTGGCTACGCGCCTGCAAACAAGGCGGCGGCCCGCAAGCCTTAGATTTAGCAGCCAGGAGCAAGGGGCAATTTTTTTTTTAAGTTGCCCTTTGCCACGGGAATTTACCAGAGCAAGGGGCAATTTTCCAAAAACAGATAGGCCGCTTATCTAATCATAAGTTCAAAGAGAGTCTACAAATGTTAATTTCATAATGTGAATAGATCGAACGATCAATTTAATAACTTTTTAATCTTAACAATATGAACAGGAAAGATTGATTAAGAACATCAAACTTGCACATTAAACAGTATTTTAAAGTAACTAAAAATATTGATGAGCAAATGAATAAATAAATTGTCAATTTCACAAACATCGAAAGTCAGAAGGACTTAATTGGCAAGTTTACCGGGCCGGGTATTCCAAATCAAAATCGCACCTCACACACAAACCTTCCGCCACTCTCTCGGTAGTAGGAGCAAATTTGAAGAAATTATCTTTTTAACTGTTATATAGAAAGGTCTACATAGGCCTAACTAATGAAATAAGATGTAAAAATGTCCTTATAGACATTCGACAGCTGAAAGTGACACGCTCAGCTCAGTTGCGTAACGTGCATTCACGAAACCAAAATCGTTCCTCGCACACACACTCTCGCCACTTTTGGTGGGAAGCTGTCGGGCTGGAAGTTTGCCAGCGAAACCGATGCACCCTCGGAATTTTACCGGGACTCGAAACGTTCGTCTTGGGAAGCTGGCGGGGTAGCTTTTTGAAGCGAGGTCGGCTGGTGGCAAAATGAGAGTAACTACGATCGAGAACATCGTAGGTGTTCTTAACTTATTAATAAGATAATTCTAAATTCTATTTGAGATAAAATAATAAACTAGGCCTACAAACAAACCTCGACAGATCTCTAATGACTATTTGAATGCTTGTTTATTTCTCCATTTGACGATTTGTTTTCTTGATCCTGGCCTTCGATTTGTACGTACGTGCGTGCGTCAACAGCATGCACCATATGCATATCATGCGATCGCATGAACGTACGTACGTACGTGCGCTAGCGCATTGCCTATATACAAAGGGCGCATTTTCACGGCACTTGCACTAAATACGAAGCTAGAAGAGAGCTCGTGGGCGGCAAACTGTTCGTGATTCGTGTATTTTTACTGTTCTAATAATTTATGGGCGCATTTTCACGGAAAACACTTGCGCCTTGCCGTCTAGTTTTAGATGATTATGGGCGCAATTGGTGGTTTTATGTGCGCAAATTTAAAATAAAAAGGGCACGTCCAGTTGGAAAAAAAGGCACGTCGGCCAGTTTGAAAAAAAGGGCACGGCCTTTTTGGCCGTGAATATATCTTTTTTTGGGAGGGCACCGCGGCCAGTCATAGGGGCATCGACGGCCTGGCCGTCGATGGCCGTCGATTAATTTAAGGCCTGAGAGTATGGCTGTGCGAACGTGGCTACAGGTTGGCTGTGAGAACGAGCGTATGCATAGTATGCATACACACAACACAGGGGATGTACACCACTCAAAGACGTGCGCATTACCCCAGGCCATGCATCCGATTGTGATATCAAACCAGCATCCACAACACACGCAAATTACATATCAGTGCACTGCACTACACACAGCGTCACTCACTAGTACAAGGAAATCCCGATGTCACTTCCAAAAATCCACCCCAAAAGCCAAAATTGCGGAATCGGAGCCATATTTCCAAAGCACGCGGTGGCTTAGCCAAGTTTTAAAAAACGGCTTCGCCCAAAAAAGCGCTTAAAATCAAGAAATCAGAGATTTTGTAACGAGTTTTTTCGCTTATCGCAAGCGCCCTTCGAGGGCTTTTGAGTGTGGTGGTATCTTTACCAGTACCAGCGCTGTTGGGCTCAGATCACGTGACCGCATTTTGGGGGGCTATCCACATGTTGTGATTTGCGCGAATTGCTGATACACGCAATGCAGTACTGATTAATAGGTTGGGGAATACAGACACCATACTAAATATGATTTATATATTTGCAGTGTCGCACAAGAAGCTTTTACTCATATATGCGGCTGTACGTAGAAAGACTTTAGGCGTTGCTGGTTAGGTTTATTATTTTAGCGCGCGACACATTTTTTAGACAAATTATTATCAATCAACACGGGAGGATTGCAGCTCTAGCTGTGCTTTCAAGACTGAAAATTCATCTATGAAAATCTACTATCTTGTATTTTAAACGCGAGCTAGACGGGTGCAACTATTGTCAGGGAACACCAGATTAACGCGTTCTAGACGGGTCAGCTATTGTCAGGGGACGCCAGATTAGGAAGGATTAGAGAGGGGCTGGATAGCGGTGAGGTTGATTGACAGCGGTCCTAGCAGACGGGATGGCTTCTTTTCTGGCTGCCTGCTCTATTGTCCAACAGACAACAATAGACGCGAGCAAGGGACGCCAAGGGGTAGCCAGCGTACAATACGCGTCCGGGAACGGGGGATTAAGAGATAAGTAGGCGTCCCGAACCCGGACGAACGCGAGTGATAATAAAGTTGCCTTCCCTAACTTAGAGGTGTGTTGATGTGGACTAAAATCTTTCTTATGTATCCAGTGTAGAGTTATACTATGGGGCCCATACAGCAGAGAATACATGAATAGAGAAAGATAGAGTGTGTGAGTGTGTGATTGAGAGAAAGAGAGAGAGAGAGAGAGAGAGAGAGAGAGAAAGAGAGATGGAAAGAGAAAGAGAGATGGAAAGAGAAAGAGAGATGGAAAGAGTAAGGGCATTTTGAATCTCACTATAAAAATGAATCTGACTTTCAGTGGATGCCCTTCTTCAAGAAACTGTGCACACGGCCAACGGGGAACTGAAGCGATATACTTCTCAATTGCTTGCAGCGAGGAGCCATTGCCGAGGACGCAGGTTCGAAACTGAGTCACATCTTTTGGATGGTGACGTTTAAAGGTCGGTCCCCAGACGTAAATAATCATATCTGATTGATACACGTCTGTAAAAACCCAATACACACACACAGAGAATGAAAGTGGGATGTACATACCTGTTGGTTGCACCGATGATGAAGACGTTCTTCTTGGAGCCCATACCATCCATCTCAGTCAGAACCTGGTTGATGACACGGTCTGAGGCACCACCGGCATCACCGACGTTGCCTCCTCGAGACTTAGCGATGGAATCCAACTCATCAAAGAAGAGCACGCATGGTGCAGCTTGCCTTGCCTAGTGGGTGTGGAAAGTAATCATGGAGTTTATCAATCAAACCTACATTTCATTTAGCAAGTGCTACAATAAACTCATTCTTTTTATTCTTGTAAAAGTAATTTAATTGTAAATCCGCTGAATATTCGGATCACACCACGGTCCCACTGATTGACTTGGGTAGAGTTTCTTTTAGTAATACAAGTCCAGTTCAAGTTTTAGGAAGACTGGAGGAAAAGATGTCTTAATAATGTCACAATCCCTAAAGACAGATGTTATCAGAAAGCATTTTTCTCAGCAGGATTCGCTCAGCCCCGAAAGATGGTTTGGTTTAATGCCATTTCATCATTACACATCTGTTTTCAATGATAACAATACATCATGTTCACATTGTGAATACTTCAATGCTCTTTCTAATCTTTATTATACTTAACTCCTGGGTGCAGAGTGGCAAAATTAAATTGATGTCTTGCCAAATGACATTTCTGCCCAAGGGTGTAAAAATTACTCTCCTGTTTGCAGGAGCTCTTCTAAATTTTGATGTAATATGAGTATAATTTACTCACATTTAATAAAAATTAAACGATTTAAAACCAGATACTTCTCAAATATATTAAGAAGCTTTCATAAATAGAAAAGTTTTATATCACAAATAGTTTCTGATTTCTCCGATTCATAATCTTAGAATCTGTTTCCGTTGCGTTTGGTTTATGTGATATTAACATTAAGTTTGAACTGAGTTTTAAAGAATTTTCTTTATAAAGTGTAAAACATAACAAATTGCTATGAGATTAGAATGGTATTTCCCAGTTTGTTACACATTCCCTTCTATATATGACGTGTGATATTGATGCAATTATTCACGATGTAAGATCTATTTCCATCGGAGGATATCTTTGTGACTGACCTTGTCAAAGACATCCCTGACATTGGCTTCCGACTCTCCGAACCACATGGTGAGCAGCTCCGGACCCTTGATAGAGATGAAGTTGGCCTGGCACTCGTTGGCGATGGCCTTGGCGAGCAGGGTCTTACCACATCCTGGGGGACCGTAGAAGAGCACGCCACGGCTCGGGGTCATGCCGAACTTGAGGAACTTGTCTGGATGCTCCACAGGGTACTGTACCAGCTCCTGGAGCTCCCTCTTGACGCTCTCCAGACCCCCGATGTCCTCCCATGACACGTTGGGCACCTCCACCACGGTCTCACGCAGAGCACTGGGGCTGCTCTTGCTTAATGCATACTGTAAAGAGATTAAGAGAAATTTACAAAATCTTGAAAAACATGGTGGCCAAATCTTAGAAAAGTCTGTGAATAACATAACTTTGGCAAAATATTAACAGATTTTGTTTAATGACTGGGGTTATGAGCAATCATATCCTTTTGCACTTTTAAAGATAATGACAATGGACTGCCTGTCTGTGATTCAATGGGATCATTCTATGAGGACAACATGAGGGTTAACAATGTTGCCTTTGACCTGAATATGCTATAAGCAAAAACGTATCAAGAACCCATGTGCAGTTTTTAAAGATTATTACATACAACTGCCTGTGAAAGGTACTATGTCCAATTTGCGGGCCAAAAAAATGAAAAGGTTAAATTCCAACGGTATTTGGAAGACAATACCAATTTAGAACTTCCCTAAAAAAAAGAGGGGCTTGAAAATGTCTTTAAGTGGGAAAATAATGACTATTAGTTGTCGAATCGACTTAGGAGCTATAGAGCCAGTAAGTAATAGTCTGTCTTTTTCAGACCATTGTACCGAATGGTCGTACGTTTTATGCTTCGCAAAGATGCAATCAGTTTAATTTTGGCCATTACAAGAAGTGGGTTATTGATGTAGACAAAATGCTCATGTACCCTTTACAGCTCATTTTATGTATGTTATTACCAAAGATGAAAAAGCCAGTCAGTCACTCAATAGTGTCTGACAGTGAAGTCTAGCAAGTAAACGGGTTTCCTCGCATAACTTGAATATTAGGACACTGCTAAGGTTTAAATTTCACAGACTGGACATACATGACATATCTATAATTCCAGCAAAGTTCTACAGAATTTGATGTTGGCTGCAAAAGGGACATAGTATGTATCTTTAAGGAATCAATGAGAAAGTTCTTCATGAGGGCAATGTTAGGGGTAACTGTATCTAGCCTTCGACCTGAATAGAGCATAGAATAGCCCTATTCAGTCTAATGAAGAGATTGTGTTTTATCTACCTCCATGAATATGCCAGTAGCAGAAAGGGAATGTCCACACTGGGATAAATTGGAGGATTGTGTAAACCATAAAAGAAGACTTCAAAAGAAAAACCAATTGACTGATTTGTAGATCCAAATTACATAAACCAGACTAGATCATAACACTTCCAGAGATGCCAACCCTATAGGATGGCTGTCAGTAACATTTACCATATTTATCCGTAACAAATGGGGGTCCTTCCGTAACGCAAGACACTGCAGCATAATTTTCGCGCAAAACGTACACAAACACCCAATCACTCTTACTGCATTTCAAACCTACCATTTTTAAGTCCAAAATAAAGATGTGCATAAAAACGTTTTTAAAAATCTGTTTCCAGTCAAAGGATCTCCTCCTCGGGTACTCGCTCTTTTTAATGAATCCATGATAATATTCAGAAAGAAAACACCTCGTTCAAGCGTCGAATGGCAAATTTGAATCGACAGTCAAATAGCAGAACTCGTATCCTACACACGCACATGTACACTCACCGGTACCACAGACACACCAGCCCAGGCCGCTAGGCCCGGCGTTCATGAACAACAACACACCGTATACCGCACTTGCAATGCGCCCGCTGAATCACCGAAGTCTTCGCTACTATACTTCGAATGGGTGGCTTAACTGCAGCAGGCGCCGCGCGCACGATCATCTACCACCATGCTCCCCCCAAAAGGCACGACCGCACGTAGCATACCAGTATCAAAGCAGTAATAACGGCGGCCGTGTTGTTTCAGAATTAAACAAGATGGCGGCGGACGGACCATGTGCGCGAAAGTGCCTATCCAATGCGTGCGACATGCAGCGCTGTGTACGGAGGCTATGTGATAAGGCGGCATTCGCTATAATGTACTTTTATTTATAGTTTCCCCGTAACCTTTGATTGTTTACCGTAACGCCGTAACAAGAGCATTAAAACCGTAACAAATACGGCGAAACCGTAACGGTTGGCATCTCTGCACTTCCAAACAGGCCTCAAATCTAATTTACAGCTAGAATTTATGTGGCATGACAGCTCAGAAGGAAAACAGGGTTTCATGACAGGGAGGTAAAAACTTTACCAAGTTGAAGCACTTATGCCTTTTGTTAACCCTATATAGCCAACATCATGTCTTGTATATCTCTTGTACATTTTCAAAAGGAATATTGTACATCAAAGGGCAGGAATACAGCTCATTTTTCAGAATACCTACACTTATTCTTTGGAGTTATGACAGGTTATATCTCCCCCAATTGTAAACATCTCATTCAATCAATCGTAACTTCACACTAAGTCACTGATAGATACAATGCGTGGTACGATACAATTAACTGTGACAAAGTTTGAAGATATGATAGATTTTTCAAATTGATTGTAATTCAAGCTTTAATGTTACTTGGCCATCATCAAGAAAAGAATAATTATAAATTCTTATTTTATTTTTCATTGTCTGCGTTTCTTACCCTGAAGTCATCCATGGTAACGGCAAGGGAATCCAGGACCTCAGCATCGATGTTTTCTTCTTCCAGGTCGATGAGATCCATCTTCTTACGGATCTGCTGCAGGGCAGACTCCGAGCACAGAGCAGCCAGGTCAGAGCCCACATGGCCATGGGTCTCGTTTGCAATCTGCAATGGACAGACGGTAAAAGAAGGATAATGATGACCATTTGACCCTTTGGAACAAGTCACAAGAAGCTATTAATGTATTTTGTGCATTTCATGAAAAAAGAAATTTCAATGATATAAGTAAGTCTGCCATATGCTCCAAAAGAAAATCCCTTTATTTATAACGTTTGCTATAAGCAATCAAAAATATCTATTGAGAGAAATCATATTTATCACTCTTTGCCCCATTGTAAAATTTATGAACGACTGTATTGGTGGTTTTGAGCCAAGAGTCACATGATACTTGACCTGACATATTTTGAAATGTACTTTTAATATCTACAAGTGTCAAATATTCCATTACAATAATACATATTTTTTCAGAAACATTGGGGAATACCAAGATATGCTCACTATTTGGTTTTCATGGGTTCTATGATCACATCACAATAGCAATGAATACAGAAACAAGTTTGATATACACTGTATTTATTAACTTTACCTATGTACAGACTTAGCTGTCATAATCCCTGTGGCTATGGCACTCTTTTCTATTGCAAAGGTGTAAAACCTAATTCGAAATCTAATATTTGGTACGTCACGTGTTTATGTTACAGCAGTCTCAAAAGGATCAAATTCTTACCTGTTCAAGGTCTACGTCATCAGCGAGTTTCATGTTCTTGGTGTGAATGCGGAGGATTTCAAGACGGCCGGTGGAGTCAGGAATGCCAATGTCTATCTCACGATCAAAGCGACCTGTAGCAAAAGGTAGATGATGTATTTTAGACATAAATCAAAACTGAAGGCTTTAAGCTGCTTCTTGAGAAATCATATCTATTCTGAATGTAAATCACAATGCCTTGTTTCACCCAAATCAAAGTTGGATACCCCGTTTAACAAATATGTAACAATCTGACTCCCCCTTCCCCTTACAGCCAAGTGAGCACACCAATAACCTGACTGTTTGGGGTTGAAGAACAATGTATTGCTGGCACTTACCGAATCTACGGAGAGCTGTGTCAATGCTGTTAGGCCTGTTTGTGGCTGCCATGACGACGACATGTGACCTTTTCTTCAACCCGTCCATGAGGGTCAAGAGCTGTGACACAATTCTTCGTTCAACTTCTCCATGGGTCTAGAAGAATCAAATTCATAACATTATGTATTGATTACTTCGGCAGGCAAAGGTACCATCAACATCGCTATCTCCATACAAACTATTTAAATAATGAAAGTTTTAACTCAACAACATGTAACATAATCCAAGGCACTGACCATAAAACCCAAGACTCATTGAAGGAGGAGCCAGGATATGCCATACAATAATAATGCCTCCGCCAACACCTTTGGTAGCAGAGGCATAGGCATAAAATATAAGGAGTTTAACCATCTGAAATAAAACATCTATTTTTTTTTATGGCAAAAAAACTCTTGCAAATTGTACATGTGCAGGTTTTATTGAATTACTCCACAGCATCAAAATGTCATGACTCTGCATTACTCATGAACTTTACTATGGTTCATTTCAAGTTAGTTTCTTGCAAGCGATGACTTTTGGTTTAACAGGACTTACTATGGATAGGCCTACAGCTCCCTAAAATTGACTAACTGTAACGATATTTTCAAGAAAAACATCACATGTCAATCTAGGTGCTGTGGCAGAAAGAAAGGTCCCCTTACATTCATTTCAACATTAAAAATGTGCAACATGAATTTAACATCATGGGAATTACTTAATGTCAGACTGTTAGTCAATAAGATATTCTGCATGAAAACTACATAATGAGCACCAACTGTATATAGCCTTCGACCTGAATAGAGCATGGAATGGCCTTATTCAGTCTAATGAAGAGATTTGTGTTTTATCTACATCCATGATAATCCCAGTGGATGAAAGGGAATTTCTACACTGGGGTAAGTTGGAGGAACATCCAAACAACTAGATTCACTTTCAATATACATGTATTAACATGTACATGTAAATAAGGTTTTATTCACTAATTTAACCGAAACAAGACATCAAATTTTTCCTCACCCTCGAGATAGGAAGGCAAGTTGGAGAAGTTTCCGGTGGGAAGATGGGTTCAATGCTTCAGAGATCTTTGCACACACAGACATATTAATTGGTAATTTAACCAAGTCTTGTGTCAGCAAATTATGATGCAATACACATGGACACTGACTACTACATGGCTTTAATTGTGACAATGTTTAACTGTTCATCAGTCTTACCTTTTCTCTCTTGGGTGCGATTGAGTCAAGTTCATCAATGAAGATGATTGCAGGAGCGTTCTTTTCTGCTTCCTCGAAGGCTTTGCGTAGGTTGGACTCGGAATCTCCAGCCAGCTTACTCATGATTTCTGGTCCTGTGGTCCAAAAAAAAAAATTAAAAAATGACAATGACAATAATTGTTTGTTAGGGTTGTACAATACACACGGCCTGGTGACATTTGCTCTGCAGACAATTTCATACAGCAGACCCTTCAGATGCTTCATGAGGACAATGATAGGGGTAAATGTATCTAGCCTTCGACCTGAACAGAGCATGGAATGGCCCTATTCAGTCTAATGAAGAGATTGTGTTTTATCTACCTCCATGAATATCCCAGTAGAAGAAAGGGAATGTCCACACTGGGATAATTGGAGGATTGTGTAAATCATAAAAGAAGACTTCAAAAGAAAAACCAATAGACTGAATTGTAGATTCAAATTACATAAATCAGACTAGATCATAACATTTGAAAACAGATTGGTCCACCAATTTTCTATAGTGACAAGTATCCACTTCTTTATTCTTTTACAAATCAACATATTCTTTTTTATCTAAATAAAAAAAAATTAAAAAATTGTCTCCATGTAATCATTTTGCCAGCAATATTTCTTCACTTAAATTGCCTTGATCAAACAGATTCAGTGAAGCACAGACATAATACATGAATAAACATAAAATCTATTAAATCTATCAGGTATCCTATTTCTATTTCCTACAAGTTTTTAGGTCCTCCTCATCTTAACCCTACGTTAACTGGGGGGGGGGGGGGGGGGGAATTACGCGACCACTCCCAAACCGCGGCAGATATAACATTTTCCTTCATGACTTTTTTCTTCTGAGTCTTACGCATCTTTTAAAACAATTTTTTCGAAAATCGGACATATAGTTACAAAGTCACATGACCTTTTGTCTTCGCATGTCAGCCCGAAAATCGCTCTTTTTTGTGATTTGTGTACAAAACATATGGAAATGTCATTTTTCCTTAACCCTACGTTAACTGGGGGGGGTCAATTTGACCCCCCCCCTGTAGAAATTTCGCGACTACTCCGAAACCGCGGCAGATATAAAATTTTCCTCTCATGACTTTTTACTTTCGAGTGTTACGCATCTTTTAAAACAATTTTTTTGAAAATCGGACCTACGGTTACAAGGTCGCGTGACCTTTTGTCTTTGCATGTCAGCCCGAAAATCGCTCATTTTCGTGATTTGTGTACAAAACATATGTAAAAGTCATTTTTCCTAAAAATAGATAAAACATTGGTTATTCAGTCTTGTTTAAAGTTTAGATGTTTGTTTTGGGGTCAAAATAGTTGAATTGTAGTTATAAATGAAATAAAACAACAAAAACAATAAAATACATAAGTTAAAAAAACAATGAAATACATAAGAAATTATAAAAACAAGAGATAACATAAGGAATAACCTGGCTCTTCCAATTTTTTGTGTTGTATTATTATTCCAAATGGTCTAATAAATATATGTAGTGAAAAAGAATACTTAAATATGAATAATCTATGATTTATGGGCCGAAATGTGAATTTTATGACCTTATTTGCATAAATTACCATAAATATGCAAATGAGTGAATTTTTCAAAAATTTGAAATTACCATAGTATTCTATACACTTCACTTGACATGCATGCAAATTTTCGCGGCGATCGGCGGTGAAACGGCCGAGATCTTAGGGGGGGGTCAAATTGACCCCCCCCCAGTAAAAACCTGGTCTGAAATAGCCCAGTTAAAATAGGGTTAAAAGAGATAAAACATTGGTTATTTAGTCTTGTTTAAAGTTTACGTGTTTGTTTTGGGGTCAAAATAGTTAATTGTAGTAATAAATGAAATAAAACAACAAAAACAACAAAAACAATAAAATACATAAGTTAAAAAACAATGAAATACATAAGAAATTATCAAAACAAGAGATAACATAAGGAATAACCTGGCTCTTCCAATTTTTTGTGTTGTATTATTATTCCAAATGGTCTAACAAATATATGTAGTGAAAAAGAATGCTTAAATATGAATAATGTATGATTTATGGGCAAAAATGTGAATTTTATGACCTTATTTGCATAAATTACCATAAATATGCAAATGAGTGAATTTTTCAAAAAATTGAAAATTACCATAGTATTCGATACACTTCACTTGGCACGTAATCAAATTTTGTGGCGATCAGCAGTGAAACGGCCAAGATCTTAGGGGGGGGGGGGTCAATTGACCCTCCTTGTCTGAAATAGCCCAGTTAAAATAGGGTTAACCCATCTCTGTACTCACCGTTGATAAGGAAGAAGAATGCACCGGTCTCATTGGCTACAGCTCTGGCGATCAGCGTCTTACCAACACCAGGAGGTCCGTATAAGAGAATGCCACGAGGAGGCTGCAATGGAAGAGATGAATAAAGTGAAAGATTATTATTCATTCATTACCAACAAATGGGGTGGATAACTCTCAGAATGCCGCAAAACTTAACTTTATCTTTAAGTTCAACTTAAAGTCGATCTAGTCTTTGTGAAACACTCCCCTTGAATGACGGCACATACCTTGACTCCGATGGCCTTGAAGAGAGCAGGGTGACGAAGGGGCAGTTCAACCATCTCCTTGATGGAGGCCAACTGTTTGCGGCAGCCTCCGATGTCATCATAACCAATCTCGTTCAGATTTTCCTCCTCGTCCTGCAGAACATAAAAAGAAATTACTACATTAATATTTGTCTTCTTTGCACAGGTACATGGCCATCATGTGTATTCTTGTACCGCTCTGCGGGCTTGTTGACATTGCCTCAACAACAAATCATTAAATTTAATTACACAATATTGGCAACCTATCACAATCTACTAATAGCTTAGTAAAAACCGTGCTCATATGTTTAAATCAAATTATTTTCTTTCCTTATTATTTCTATTTTTGTGGACATTTCCCTTATAAATGCTTCAATATGCAGGCGTTTGGCAAGGAATGAAAAGTACAACATGTCACCTTCCATTTATAAGGAAATGGTGCAGATGTGGAGACCTCTGTGGACCTCTGTGGAGACCTCTCTTTGAAAAGGATTTTTCGACCTGCATCTCATAGAAATTACCATCAATTCAAAAATGGATATTAATTACTTAACTTTCATGGGTGCTTATCCATTACTCCTAGTAGTGGGTTTTACACATACATGTAGCTAAAAATGACCCACAGTAACCGTTTCTGAGTAGATTCTAACTACAACCGGGCTCATTATCTAAAAAGATATCTTAAAGATATTTATGCGCGGGTATATAGTCGTTCGTGAAGTAGGCAACTTGACGAACACTGAGCCAACTGGTATTAATGTCCTGTACGGACGTATGCATAAAGGGACACTCGTACGCAAAGGAGCGTAATACCCGTTGGCTCAGTGTGCTGCCCTCTATTTACCCACGCATGAGCGACTTTAAAATCAGTTAGTGAGCATGCACGCACCTCTCGCTTGATTGCATCTCCCTCAAAGTGTATGACTGTATCAGGTGAAACGATGCAGTATGGTCCGGGGTCTGTTTCCACCACTTTGAATTCTACCGCCCTCATGCCTCCACGGATTTGAAAGATGTCACCTTTCCTGACGGGGCGGTACGCCTCCTGGAAGTACGGCCTCAGGTATACATCAAAGAGGTTTCTGATGAAAAGATAGAAGAAAGAAAGAATTTGTTCAATATCAATTTGAAGTTAATCCCATCATCTCTGTTTCTCTCACTTTCTCTCTCTCATTTCTCTCTCCCGTTACCCCCCCCCCCCCCCCCCCCCCCCCCTCCTCCTCTCCTCTTCCCCCCCCCCCCCTCTCTCTCTCTCTCTCTCTCTATCACTCTCTACATTCCTCTCTCTTATTTCCAAATCTCCACCTATCTTCCCATCTTTTTCTTTCTCTGTCTTTCTCAATATCTTTCTCTTGTGTGTTACAGCAGCTCACTGTCAAACTACAGAATGGCAAACTGGTTACCAAGTCAAAGACAAGGGCCCAAGGGGAGAGAAAAACATAAGAGCTGAGAGAACAAAAAGGAAAGAACTATCAAATATAGGAAGATAAACAGAGGGACTCGCAATAAATAATCAGGAAAAAAAGGGAAAGAGAGAAATAAAATGTGTGAACAAGAGAGAGAGAGAGAGAGATAAAGGGAGACAGCGAGAGAGATGGAGAGAGAAATAAGAGAAGAATGAGACTATTTTAGAATGGAAAAGAGAGAACGAAAGTTAGGGGTTAGGTGGATAATCATCTTGTATTTCATTTTTAAAACAGTAACATCACAATTATCAGATGTTACTGGGGTAAGAATGAAACAGAATTGCTCTGCCTCTGCATTTTACTGAAACAAGGGAACATGATATCCCATGCCAGTGGTAATCAAAGGCTAAAAGATACACTACAATGACAGAAAGCTGTTCATGGGCACCAACTATCAGTGTCACCAGTAGCTCTTTCATTATTATAAAAAATTAACAACAACAAATGAGAAAACAAACAATGACACATACTAGTATCAAAATCATTACTGTCAATCAATTCATGATCTAATAGGGAAGCACACAAGTAACACTACCATATTAGGCTCCGCACGATGCAGGAAACCACAGCTTTTAAATAATTTCCTTGGCAATTGGGGATGAAAAATAGTAGCTGTGCACTTCAAAGGTCCAATGCATACTCACTTGTCTGCATATTATATGATACAGCAATATAATACTTGTAATCATATAAAAAATCTCAGTCAGTAGTTAACCATGTCATACATCATGTATGTGAATGAAACCAAAGGATCACTTCTCAAAACTTACCCGGAGATGCCTTCAATTGTGTCGTCAATAGGTAGAACATGGATACGCTTGCCATACTTCACATCTGGGCAGGCTGTTACACTACAGAGGGAGAGAAAAAAATACTTTCATCATCAACAACCTGCTCCAATAACTACATGTAGCTTCACAGATAGGTCACTTTTACCCCATAGGTTACCAACATGACATCATCTGTTCACAGTACATGTGATGGTTCATCAAACTGACAGCCCTACTACAGCCTGGACCCAGTAACAAGGAAAATTACGCCTGCAGTGTTAAATTTTGTTCATACTTCTCTTTTCTTGGTAATTTATAAGATAGAAAATGACAAAACACCTTTGACCTGATTTACTGTAACACCTGCCCTCCCTCCCCCCCCCCCTTCTTTCCTCCCCCTAGAAAAAAATTATTATAAAAAAATGGGTAAAATGCTTCAGGTAGTTAAGATCCAGAGTATGAGTTTTACATGTAAATCCTTGATAAAGATCTTGAATTATCGTCCACCCTCCCAAAATTAATCATGGGGTATTTCCCAAAGTCCAAAGTACAATGAACAACAATATTTGTATAATTTGTTATTAATGCTGGCAATAGATCTGGCAAAACACACATCAGTATTGTCAACTGTGACTAATGAACATAAAAGACCCCCTTCCCCCAATTGTTATCAATTCTGGCCATGTTGTCTAAAAATGGATCTTGCAAAATTCAGACCAATTTTGTCACCTGTGACTAATCAAACTAAAATAGCTACTTCCTGTTAGATATAAACAGTATTCAATGTCTTTTACAGGAAATGGCAAAATGAATACATGCATACTGGAGGATTTGTATTTCCTATTAAACCTTAATACCATACCAGCCAGAGAATGAACATACACATGTCATAATTCATGCGAGAAAAAAAAAGTACCAAAAATGCTCAGTGGTCTAATGTAACTTAAATACGGCACATTTTTGTCACAATAAATAGTGTGAAAAGTATGCCAAAAGGTCTGTTGAAATAGTTGGAATTACAATTTATACTTAAGAACTTCAGTCTTGAATGAGCCTACTGGATTACTTGTGTAAACAGTGGTTTTCCCCATGAACTACAAGGACAGGTCCAAGCTGTTCTCTGAATCATTCATGCCCCTTGTAAATATGATTTTTTTTTCTTCTTCTCGTAACTCAAGAATGAAAGGAGGATTAGTTGAATTAGAACCTTTGTTGAATAATTTTTAGAAGTATATTTTGATAGGTAACATTCTCAAGAAACATAAATTAGGAAAAATCAATTTTTCACATACTCAAAAAATTACAAAAGTTGGTAAGGATATAATTAATTTAGTTGTTAAACTGTACATCCAAACTTTATGAAAAAGATGGTAGTAGCATAAGAGAGAGAAAAAAAATGATGCAAACAAATATATCAGCAGCATTAAAAAAAACAATAACTGATCAAAATGACTTCGATTACCTTATTAAAGTGGGCAAATGAGACAAATGCAATCACGTTTTATATCCTTACCTGACAATGTCTCCTAGACGAACCCGAAGGTTACTCCTGACGACTCGGTTGACACGGATCTTGTCATCTGTTACGGTGTCATCTGAGAGAACAATGCAGACGGTGTCTCGCCTTTTCTTGCCTTTGAGCATGACTGTGTCTCCACGGAAGAGCTGAAGCTCATCCATCTTAGCCTGAAGATTTAGACAAATTTATGGTTAATGAATTTCCAAACCATTTCAATTTCATATTCAATGTTTATTAAGGTATGGAAAATTCTACTCAGTTACATGTACATGCAATATCTGTAAGGAATATGTACATAAACAAAAACACTTGATAAGAGAAAAATTTAAGCCTCAATATAGTTATTTTACAAAAGTTCAAATGGATCATGATCTACTTTTTTTTTTTGGGGGGGGGGGGGGGGGCGGGGGCGAGATCCTTATCTAGGCTATAAAGTGAACATGCAGTAGATAAAATTTAACTGAATAAAAGGCAAGACAAGGTCATAGGATAGATAACCCTTTCTTTAAAAAATGAGAGAGAGAGAAAGAAAGAGAGAGAAAGAGAGAGAGAGAGAGAGAGAGAGAAAGAAAGAAAGAGAGAGAGAAAGAAAGAGAGAGAGAAAGAAAGAGAGAGAGAAAGAAAGAGAAGGGGAACTAACCATACATGTACACCTGCACAGTACCTACTACAGTACAACTTTACAGCGAAGGAGAAGAGGAAGAGAAAGAAAAATTAATGTAATAATAAAAGAACAAGAAGAAGGAATTGGTCCAACTGAGAGAGAGAGAGAGAGAAAGAGAAGAGAAATAGATAAAGAGAAAGAGAACAAAGGGATAACCACTACACTTGTCATGCACTATTTCTACAAATTACATTCAAAATAGTATTAAGAATACCTGTGCTTATGCAGTTCAAAAAGTGAATGCACGATACATGTAACAATAACATGACATTTACCTGTGAGAGTGAGACGACTGAGTTGTCATCATTGATTGCTTCTTCGACCACCAATCTATTTGGTTTAGCCTTTGTCCTCAAGATAGCCGTAGCAATATCATCTCTGCAATGCAATGAAGGCGACAATAAAGGATGGTTCAATGAATGTTAAGTGGTCAATATATTTTTTTTCCACATCATATTAGATCTATGCTATTTCTGCTGATTATAAAGTAACTTGACACTTTTGTAGTTTCCTCTGCAATTCAAAATCATGATAAGTCGTAGACATCACAAAGAACACCATCATCGTTATCATGAAACTTGCTCACAAATAGTAGCACAATTATTCTGAAACTTGGTCATTCAAATTTTGTATGGTTAAGGTATAAAGTCAATATGGACAATTATTTGTAATATGTCAACTCCCCTTTCATGGCCCCTTTGTCTACAAATAATGCATCCTGCTACAATCATTTTCTTCCACATACATGTACCGGTACATTCTTTAAAAATATCAAACCATTTCATAATGGTCTGACTACAGTACATGCAAGCCCTTTCTAACTGAGAACACATTCAGAAAGTAATTAATTTTGAATATGAAAGAAACAGCTTTATACTGTTCCAGTAAATGACCGTAGTTCTGTCGCTTCCAGCTGATTCCAAGCTCAAATTTTGAAGAAGAACCAAGGAAACCGCTGCTGATTTTCCTTCGCTGTGTCTGGTTTCGCAAGTGTAAGCGAATCATCTAGTTTGCTATTCAATTCAACCAAAACTAAATAAACTGTCAAAATGCCCCTCTACCTGGCACTGTACTGGCTGACGCTCACGCGTGCCCGGAAGAGCCCCGGCATGGAAGTGTGAGTATAAATGATTCCCAGCTCAATCATACACAGGGTGTCACTGTCAACTCACAACTCAGAAAATAGGACCAAACTAGCTGCCAATATACAGATTTCTGTTTGGACTGTTCACTCAGAGGAAAATTTGTCTGTCATCTTTAATTTTAAAAACAACAGTGTTACTATTATTTGTGACAAGTTAAAAAGCACAAATCGGCACCTTTAACTGCAATTCACCATAAAATAGTGTGGGTTTCTGAAGAACGTCGGCAAAAAATAGACAAAATTGAGCAGCCCCATCTCTTGACGACTGATGTCGTAAATATGATTTATTTGTAGCAAGAAGTTACGAGTGCTGTTCAGTATGACGTAAAATCACTCCCCAAAAAGGGTAAAAATAGGTATTTATGGTATTAAATTTACAACAATTTTGTTTTCCCTACCGTGTCTTAAAAATACGGGTCTGTAAAAAAGAAGGTATACAAAATTAAAAAGGGTTTTAAAAATAAGACTCTAGCTCCATTGTATTAAAAAAAAAAAAAAAAAAAAAAAAAAAAAAAAAATGGCTGTCAAGTACTATCTGTCTGTATGGCGCGCCTGGGAATGTACTCAAGTGCCTCATTACACGCTTATGCACAAGCCTTACTTAGCACCATTTTCTCTCATCTGAACAATGTTACCAATACCAAGTCCCTTTAAACTCACCCGTGTTGCCTAAAGCAGTAAAAAAAAAATACTGCTTTTTAATTTGAGGTGTCAGCAATTTGTCACTAACGACCGTACCGATTTGAGTGAATTGAATGAATTCTGGTTACTTTTGAATTTAAACAGTGATGCTTGAGAATTTTGAGAACCAATACGAGGGTATCTTTGAAAAGAAAATTATTGAATTAGTTTATTAGTTACACAAAGTAGTATATGGTCATGGAGGCTTTGTTCTTCAACTTCTTGCATTGTCTAATGTAAATTGACACCACCGCCTTTTCTTGTGAAAATGACATTGTTCTTACTGAATTTTTGATGAGATTTTCGGCAGGCTTACTCTGTATAATATAAGGATTGAGATCAGATCGGATCAGATGAGATCAGACATTAGGGAAACACGATTAAACATTCTTGTAAAATACAAATGAAATGTTATGTGCGCAGGCATTGGCGCGGATCAGTATCAGAATCATCTCGCACTCGTCATCACAATGCAAAACCCATGCACGCACTGTACGATACACAATGACTTCGTGAAATTGAAGAATGCTCAGCTGATTCCGAGTGCATTCTATTTCTACAAACCTTTCATTTCGTTCATTTGTCAACATTTCACACAACATCGCATTCATTTTAAAACATGAAATCATAAAACATACGAATAGAAAAAACATACCCTGAATTTTCAGCCATGCTTCTGATAATTTAAAAAGGAAAATAGCAAGAAAGTTTGTCGTGTGTAAATGGTAAAACTGTAATCGGTAGAAGCGAATTAGTGTCTGTTCAAGACTCTCGACTCACAATAATACACGTGTATAAATTGAGTGCGATAACGGATGAGTGGTTAGCCGGAATATTGTAAAAAAAAATATGTTTAGTAAATGTTATTGATTATATTCATATAAAATAAATCTATTTTAGTATTAATATAATTTTTTGGAAAACTGTGTTAATTTGCAGTATTATTTAATCCTCTTTTTTTCAACAACAAAAAAAATCTTATGGAGTTTTGAAAAATACCCAATCATTGTTACACAAGTACATGCATGTATATATAGCTTTGTCATGATTATTGCACCATCAACCTGCTTATTTATAAATGAGAAAAAAAGAAAAAAAAAGTAACTTGATAATAATGATGCAGTTCCTATAGACACAATATTCCTCTATAAGGTTTATTATTCTACCTGCATAAAAATAATGTTATAAATATAAAACTTGCGTCATGTATATAAGACTAACTCTAAACGAGGGATAGTCTTCAAAAGACAGGCCGTTTTTTTATACAAAGTCATGTACAAAGTTGCAGGCATGTCAGGGGTACGGTTCAGTATTTGTAAAAACGGGGGCACAATGCTCTTTAAAATTTCTGACGCGAAAAACAAAAATCATCAGATTTCGGGCTTCCTTTTTCGTCAACAAATTTCTGACAATTTAACTATATATTTATAGCAGCAATAGCAAAACAAATAATTTTAAGGGGCGTGCATGCAGGCGCGTACGCAGGATTTTTTCAAGGGGGGGGGGGTTAACATTTATAAATCGGGCCGAAAATTTCACAACGACTCAGCCAGCCGCTGAATAAGCGGGGGGGGGGGGGGGTTAGAGGACACCTTTTTTTTTTTGGTCTCGAAATTTGAAAATTTGACATTTTGCTCCGTTGGGGGGGGGGGGGTAAGGTCAGCTTTTTTAGATCCAAAAGGGGGGGGGGGTTAGAGAAATTTTTGGGGGGGTTTACACACAAAAAATTACCAAGCAATTTGAAGGAAGGAAACCAAAAAGGCATTTGGTGGGCGGTATCTGCATTTCTAAGAAAAATTCACATTTCTAGAAAGTTCAGTTGCTGCTCTTTCATATGACACCTCAATCAGGAAAAATGAGCAAGGAGTAACAAAGTTCTGTTTGTTTAAAGTAATGCTTGCATTTCCATAATTTGATTTTAAAAGTTCGTTTGCACTGGCTGCCTGCCGTAGCAACAATCAGAATTGACAAAAGACTTAACTCCGTTTTATTGACAATCAGCCATGCATAAAGTCTTTCGTCTATGTCTGATCGTCAACGAAACGGAGTTAAGTCTTTTGTCAATTCCTTTTTTTGCTACGGCAGGCAGCCAGTGAAAACGAATTCGTTTAATCAAATCATGGAAATGCAAGCATCACTTTAAACAAACAGAACTTTGTTATATTTCTTGCTCATTTTTCCTGATTGAGGTGTAATATGAAAGAGCAGAAAATGAAATTTCTAGAAAAGTGAATTTTTCTTCGAAATTCAGATACATATTTTCGCTTTGAGATTTCCCTTTGTAGGTGCCCTTTTTTCCAGGAAGTGCCCTTTTTTTCTTGCTGCCTCCCCCACTTTGGAAGTCGCTCGGCCGCCCCTAAATACTGCAACCATAGGCATACGAGGCTGAGGCCTATAGGCCGAATAAACCAATCACAAAATGAGTTGTTTAAAATATTTGAAATGTTATTTCATCATCAAAATGCACTTGCTAAGATATGAAATTAGTAAAATATAATGATATTAAGGCACTTTAATAGGAGGTTATTTCGAGCATGTCGATGTTCGAATATTTTGCTCGACTTAAGAACTCTCAAAATTATCGGAGGAGCTGCACCTGCCCCCACCCCAGCCTCGTAAGTCTATGACCGTTAAACGACATAGCAGTGGCGTTGCATAGCATTAACATAAGCGGCTTCCTATTCAAATTTTCTTCAACTTTTCTTTAACTATATCTAGAGGAATGTAGTATATAAAACAAATTTTAAAAAAACAAGGTAACAGAGAGCCCCGTAGAGAGCCAATATTTCATTTCAATGCTAAACCTTTACAAATGTCATATTTACACTGCAATATATTAAGGCGCAATGAGGAGCACAGCACAAATTATTTATAAACTATAATTTAAAATTGGGCGCGAAATTATGAGGTCTTGAAACAACACTTGCGAGGGCGCAAAGTGACCAAGCTTTAGAAAAAAAAATTGCATCTCTAAAAAATTAAATTTCTAGTACAATTTACTTTTCGTATGGAAGGATAATCCGGCTTAATAATCGTGACTTTTCTAAATACCTTTTATCCTTTTTCTCTCTTTCTCTTTTTTTTGATTTTTCTTTTCGGACCCTCTCTCTTTTGCATTTTGTGTGCCCCTTCATGCCCCAGCCCCATACAATTAGTCATTGTTCTGATGATTGTTTGCCCTATTTATCTAAAATGTGAAATATGACCAATCCCCTTCGCGTTAGCCAAGAGCCAATCCCCCGTCCCTCTTTCTGGGAAAATCTGTGATTTTCATAAACTTTGTAGGCCTACCTGAAGATTTTTGTTTGCAGTGATCCAGATTTAATGTGCTCGAAATGTTTTTGTCAAGGTTCATCTCTAAGATGAAGACATTTTGGTGGGGGTGGGTCAAGGATGACTATGATGTATAATATACTCAACAATCTCGCTCATCTTCTGGCTCAGGACTATATCACACAAGTCACCCAGTCGACGATCGAGAGCCATTTATTATTTCCGAGAACATAAGCAGAGGCAGCGCTCCCGGGGGGCAGGGGGGGGGGGCACAGTGCCCTTACACTTTTTCAAGTACCCCCAAAGTGCCCCTTTTTACATATGAAAAGTGCCCTTTTAACTTGGTAAGAAGTGCCCCTTTTTACATAGAAAAAGTGCTCCTTTTCCCTAGCAAGTGCCCCTATTAATTTTTTAAAAATGCCCCTTCCCCTTTCCACCTCTGATAAGTGCCCCTTTTATTTTGACACGTACCCCTTTTCCTTTGACAGGTTCCCATTTCCCTTTGCAATAAGTGTCTATTTTCCTCTCTCATAAGTGCCTATTTTAATATCTAGTAAGTTCCCCGTTTCAGGTACGAGAAGCGCCCCTTTTCACTTTTGATAAGCGCCCCTTCACCTCTGATAATTGCCCTATTCAAATCTGAGAGGTTCCCCTTTTTCTTTGTAAAAAGTGCCCCTTCCGCTTTTAAAAGCTATACCCCTTTTTAACTCGGATAAGCGCACGTTATATTTTCACATGTGCCCCCTTTCCTTTTTAATAAGTGCCCCCATTTGAAAAAGAGCCCATTTCCCTTCTCATTAATGTCCCTTTTCATCTCTTGTAAATGACTCTATTCAATTCTGAGAGATACTCGTTAAACTTTGACAAGTGCCCCTTCCCCTCCTGATAAGTGCTCTTTTCATCTCTTATAAATGCCCCTTTTATTTTGGCACGTCCCACTTTCCCTTCCTAATAAATTATCTTTTTCCTTCTTATAGCCTAAGTGCCCCTTCCCCTTGTCACAATTACCCCCTTTTCATCCTTGATAAGTGCCCCGTTTATTTTAACATGTGCCTCGATTTTTTTTTTAAGAGCCCCCTTTCACCTCCGATAAATTGTTATATAATGGTAGTAAAAGTCTACACCCCCTCAGTAATAGTATATAATACCACTCAGTATGCCCCAATACAGATATAAGACCCACCCTGTGATATACCAGACCTCCTTCTAGGACATTTGTTTAATAACATATTCCAGCCAAATAAACCCCAAATCGTATACACTCGATAAGAGCCCCCAAACCTCCAAAAACAAAAGACTTCCTGTCTTTCTCCCAATAACCAAAGCCCCCTTTGTTTGATAAGACCCTTTCCCAGAACAGATTACACGTGTTATAGCTAAATGACTGTGAGAGGGAACTTGTCTTTGTCCCTTTGACACAATGTAACCTACCCTCATATTACTTGTATCCTCCTGTATAAATATTACATGTTCTGGCTTTCTGAGGGGGGTAGAGTTCAGACCATCACCAAGCCAACACCTATACTTTGGCTACTCTACATCTTGTAAATATACTTGTGAATCTGGACTATGTGACTCATCGTTTTTAGAGTTATAATAAATTAAACTCTTGCATATTATTACACTTCAAAGAAAGCCTCAGCATCTCTTTATTTTATGTACCTCTCAATATTCCAATAACTTAACACACCAATCCCAAACACGACAAAATGCCCAGTATTAAAATATGATCGATGCCCTTTTCTTTCAACAAATGCAAATTTCCCTTTATCATTAGTGCCCCTTTTTCATTCTCATAAGTGCCTCTTTTCATGTATGGTCAGTGCCCCTTTCTATAGATGCGATAAGTGCCCCTTTTCACATCTGATAACTACCCTTTTTACAATGATATGTGCCCCTTTTCCCTTTTCCTTTTTAATAAGGATCCTATCCCTTTTTCACAAATGTCCCTATCAAAATCTGATGGGTGCCTCTTTCTTTAGGTGTAAGAAGTGCCCCATTTTCACCTCTGATGATTAGCCTTTGTACTTTGCCACGTACTCTTTTTCTTTTCTAATAAGTGTCTTAACCTTTTTGATAAGTGTCCCCTAATTTCCTCTCGTCATTGATTAAACGTGCCCCTAATTTCAAGCGACCAAGAGCAATTCCCCCCAAAGCTCGCTCGCTACGCTTGATCGTAGATATAGATGTTATTATCATGTAACTTCAAAGGTCTTTTCAGTCTTCCGTTATGAGGATGTGCTATATCCCCGGCCCCCCCCCACTCAGTGTTATTTAGGGTACGCATATGCTCGTACCCTCTTTTTGAAAGCACCCCCTATCTGAGGACTGCCAACATTTTCGAACCCCCCTTTCGCGGGCTTTTCGCGGGCTTTTCCTGCCTTGGAGAGCCCCCTAAATCAGGAAAAATGCTCAATGTACCCCCCTAAATTCGGAATAATTTCTCAGGAGTCCAAAGAGATGAGAGAAAAAAAGAAAAACAACCCCTTTTTAAAGAAATCTCTGGGTGAAAAGTCAAATACACCCCTTTTTTTTACAATTCTCGGGCCGGACTTTGTCGCACGAAAAGTACCCCTTTACCGGACATTTTGGCAACACGCATGCGGTCATTCTGACCTCTGAGTGGGGGGCCGGGGCTATATCCCCATCAGGATTGGGTTTTTCCTCTTTTTAAGTTGTAATTTTTCGCACTGCGACCTTACGAATCTTAACAAATTTTCCTCGCTCGCTTTGCTCGCTCGCAAATGAATTTGCAGACCATCACACCCAACTGCATAGTATGATGCTTAAGCAATATCTTATATGATGTAAAGAGAACAAATAATTATTGAAATCATCCCCGATAATGTAATCATAATATAGGGGTAGATCTATGTACCAATGTCTAAAAGATTGTATATTATCGCTTTGAGATTTCCCTTTTAAAGGTACTATGTCCCTTTTGCAGCCAACCTCAAATGCTGTAGAACTTTGCAGGAATTATGAATATGTCATGTATGTCCTATCTGTGAAATTTAAACGTTAGCAGTGTCCTCGTATTCAAATTATGCAAGGAAACCCGTTTACTTGCTAGACTTTACTGTCAGACACTATTGAGTGACTGACTGGCTTTTTTTCTTCTTTGGTTTGGTAACATACATGAAAAGAGTTGTAAAGGGTACATGAGCATTTGTCTACATCAATAACCCACTTCTTGGCCAAGATTAAACTGATTGAATCTTTGCGCAGCATAAAACGTATGACCATTCGGTACAAATGTCTGAAAATCAAGACTATTACTTTTGGGCTCTATAGCCCTAAAGTCGATTTGACAACTAATAGTCATTATTTTCCCACTTGAAGACATTTTCAAGCCCCACCTTTTTTAGGGAAGTTCTAAATTAGTATTCTTTCAAATGCAGTTGGAATTTAAATTTTTCATTTTTTTGGCCTGCAAATGGGACATAGTACCTTTAAGGTGCCCTTTTTTGTTAGTGCCCCCCCCCCCCCCCCCCCTCCACTTTGGAAGTCGCTCCGCCGCCTCTGTGCATGCACAAATCAATTGTCAGCCTGAGGTGGACGTTGAATGAATCTACGAATCTATCTCTCATTCGCCCCGCCCATTTGTTATGTCGTGTGATTTGACTCAGCTAGCGGTACGAATGCGATATTTTTTCTCGGTTATCCGGATATATGCCAATCAAAGTGTGCATATGCAATGAATGCAATACAATCACTTCCGGGTACGGTACGGATATCCAATACAGATTGAAAATAAAGATGGCTGGAATAGCGAGTGAGTATTGCAATGAAGGAATGGGTGCTTGGGTGTGAATTGAATGAGTTGAATTCGGGGTTAAAGTGTTTAAGTTAATCGATGAATGTAACTCTTTGCTTATGCATGAGTTGAATCTGTGCTATCTTAATGTGATTTACAAAATAAAGGATTGTTAAAAGTACTGATTGAAATGAATTTGATGAAACTGCACAGTGCAAGTCACAAAATAAATAAACACAGCAAAGTCAAAAATACACAGTGCAGTGCAGTCACACTCACAGTCACAGACGTAAATAACCGTCTGGTATGGGGAATTCTTGAATAAAACTGACATAGACCTAGGTTTAGATCTAGTCTAGGCCTACATTTGCCATGCCATAGGAAAGTCTCGTCACAACAACTCACCTGTCCTTATGAAACTTTCGGTCTAGATAATCGGTCGTATCGATTATTTACAAAATGACCTGCTGTCAAAGTGTCGGGGCCAGGCCTGGCCCAGGTGTCCAAAGTTCGCGGAGATTTTGAAAATATTAGAAAATTTGATTTCAATCTATGATTTCTCATATTCTACACAAATTTATTTAGATATAGGGGTCTATGCGTGCGCGCTGCAACTAAAAAAGTTGTAAAAACAACGAGACCTTAATTACTTTGCGCACGTGGGCACAGGTTTACAGCCAATTTATAAAGAAGTGCGATTCTTCAAAATTATGGTAATTTCATAATTTGTAAGGCAATATACCTTACAATCAGTTGGTACCACTTTGAGGATATCTGCTTTAAAAATGAAGATTTCCAGTCCCTTAAATGAATAACTTTTTGGAACTTACGCAAACGACTGCAAAATGTGCCGATCTTTTGTCAATATTTTCAAAATTTCACACTCGATTCCAGAGAAAATTCTGTCTCTGGGTAATTTTATGTTCCTCTTTCCATTGGTCATATCAGATTTTTAAAATTTTACCAATTTGTGGAGAAGGCGAACTTAGGTCACGCGCGAACTATGGTCACACCCCCGTACATGTACAGTACATACATGTACGTACATGTTGTAACAATCACTCCTGTTTTGAATTTGAGTACTTTTGTAGAACAGGCTATCTGATCTACAAATTGTTGGATCATTTGATCGTTGAAATACCATCAAAAGTATGAACAGTGACGGTATTTGACCCAGATGATAAGAAAATAAATGTAAATCAAATGGTCACTAAGAAGAGCAAAAAAAAAAAAATCCTGCATGATTTTTCGGCCATGATTTTGGGTGCCTTCATAACAAGCGACTGTCTCAAAATTAGTGGCCAGACCTGGGGAAGGATGGGAGGAGGAAATCCGGATACAGTTCTTAGCCCACCCAAAAACTGACGATAACCAAGAGTACATGTAATGTTAACTATAAATAAATGAGTAAATAAATGAAATATACATGTACATAATACGTCATGACTAGTCTCCATAAAAAGCACTTGTAATTTTATTTTCGAGTGTTAAAATGTAGGGTTAAATACGAAAAGAGTCATGTCGCGTAATCACAAAAGTGTAAGTATTTGTGAATTACCCGCCTGTAAAAAAACAAAGTGTCAAACTGTGGACATTATACCTCCAGATTACATAACTTGTATCTACAAAAGTACTCAAAATGTGATAACATGGGTGTTCAATACAAGCCATACAAAATTTATACCTTTTGTTTAGCTTGTTTTTGTGTAGCAAAACTTGAATTTTTCAGTCTTGTTATTGTTAAAGGTACTATGTCCCTTTTGCAGCCAACCTCAAATTCTGTAGAACAATTGTCTGAAAATCAAGACTATTACTTTTGGGCTCTATAGCCCTAAAGTCGATTTGACAACTAATAGTCATTATTTTCCCACTTGAAGACATTTTCAAGCCCCACCTTTTTTAGGGAACTTCTAAATAAGTATTATCTTTCAAATGCAGTTGGAATTTAACTTTTTCATTTTTTTGGCCTGCAAATGGGACATACATGTAGTACCTTTAAGGCAGATCAAGTATGACCTGTTAGTATTAGACCAAATGTAGACAAGTTGAGCTCTGACTAAGTTTGAGTTTGAGGCTTGAGCCTGTGATTTTTTCTCCTGCAGATTGCCAGTTATCCTGCTAACGATTGTTGATCACAACATTTTTTAAAGTTTAAACTTAAGATTAATAGCATCATCATTATGCAGCAGGGTATGAACAAATTTAGTATAATTTGTTATTGGTGGTGGCCTGGATACTGTATGCTCTTGGGAGGTCTCATGGGCAGGCAGTCTTTTGATTGGTCAGGTAACTCTTGTCATGCTTGTGGGCTGTCATTCCCAGATGCTTTAACTGTATAGTCAGAGACAGAGTTGTGTAACTTCTATGAAGCGCCCTTGTCTTCGCATGCTCGTAACAGTGCAATTGTGATGAAACAAAAGATGTAACCAACACAAAATTTGTGTCTCTATCTTATCTATACTTATTCAGAAGAAATATTAAAATATTGAGAAATGTCTTTAAAAAATCTACTAATTTTATGCACAAGCAGTGAAATGTCATCTATCACATAACAAAATCTTGAACTGCGTGTTAAGTGAACAAGTGAGCAGACACAGGAGCCTTCATTTTTGCAATGTAAAAAAACTTGAAACTACACCACCACATTTTTCTCTAGAAAATGACTTTGTTCTATACAATATGGAATAGGGAAATACATTAAGAAAACTACTGTTGATTTTGATCGAGTGAAACTTAAGGTGTACAGACATAAGGGCTCCCCTTTATATGTGTACTGTCTCTAAAATTCACTGCCGTTGTTGAGCTCGATATTCTACACTCGTTACATGTACCGGTATCTCTTATGAAATGAAACCAAGTCTTGTGTGTGAAAATTGTAGAGCTACATGTATATAGTTAAGACACTATTTAAAACCCACTTAACCTTAGAAGATGAGGAAGCAGAGGTAGTGTATTATCTGCAGACTCATTTGATAAGTGCATACAGTCTAAATAACTTTACCTGATTAACCCTTGCAATTGAGCCTACCAGAGTACCAGCAACAATTGATATGCATAACATTTTAATAAATTGGTAATTTAAGAAGTTGATGCCTGTACTTATATATGAGAGCTACATGTACAGAGTATAGACTCCTTGTGCACGATGTGCCTTAATTTCTTTTCAGCTGAACAGTGCAATGTATTTATGCACACAGCAGGAATACGATAATCATAATCACATTAAAGTGTCCTGGTACTTTTAAATGTACATTGTTTGTTGGCAGTGGAAGATTGCCAGAAAAGCTTTGATTCAGCCAATGTGTAATCTACACTGTACATGTATAATAAAGGATCTCAATCTGTCTGTCCATGAACAGACTTCAGCTAAAGTAGGCTTAGCGTGTTGTTTTTTTCCTTCAGATTGCTAATCAGTTGATTTGTTTTGTTTTTCCCTTTTCTTTCATCACTTTTCATTTTTCTTCTCAAACTTGTCATGGATTGCAATTTCAATTGTGGACAAATTGAAGGGTAAGTAGATTTCTATTCAAATAGTAGACATGGTTTATTTTACTCTCTTAGCATTTTGAACATTTTGCAAAATAGATATGGTGGTTTACAAGTATTCATTATTATTATTGTACTAACTGCTGATAAAACTTGCATATGGTTTGCATTAAGTGTTGTTGTTTCCATTATGAGGTAGTTTTTTTTAATATTGTTTATTTATCAATATTTTTATATATATTCAGATGCTTCATTACAAGGCAGCGTATACCGGTACATTTTTGTGCATGAGTGTTATTTCCTGTCCATACAAAGCAAAGATTTTAAATAACTTTTACATCGACTCATTACATGCACATTGAGTGATTTCAAGTTGGGTGTTTAAGGCTGGTGTTAGTGTTTAATAAACACTAACACCAGCCTAAACACCGAAATGGAAATCAGCTGGTGTTAAGGCTTTGACCTCTGAATATCATCAACTTCCGGTAGCTAGTGTTATGGATTTTGCTAAATTGTCGTCTGCTGAACCGACCTTTGTGGCTGGTGTTAATATTTTACGTACAAATGTCCTATTCACTAACACTAGAATCTAGCCCCTAGGGATTAAGCAAATGTTGATTTCCATTTCGGTGTTAGTGTTGTACCCACACACAGTCAACGCACGAACGACGCCAATTTATTGTCTGACGATCAAATAAAAATATGTGAAACAGGTAATTCATATATTCTTTTGTATAAAATGAGTTATTTTATAAGACCAGAGAAATAGGTGTAAATTTATTCTGTACTTTTCATGATATCTTTAGTTTTGATGTACTATTTTTAAATAATCGTCGTGAAATCAAGTATGTGGTGACGTCACAGCTGGTGTTAAGCTATCGATTTTGATATCGGTATCGGGCTCTTAATTTAATCAGCAAATTTTCGCTCGATTTAAGAGCTCTTGAATGCTCTAAACACTAACACTAACACTAACACCCAACTTGAAATCACTCATTGTGCTGTAAAATGATGGAGGGAACGGAGTAGGAAACGAGAGGAATGGAACTTTCATTATTTATTATTGTTTTTGTCTACATTCAGTTGCTTTATTTGTCAATGTAATATAAGAATATATTCTTTGCATATTGAGATACGAGGGATTGTATACCTGTACATGCACGAGCATGTGCCAAACCAAATTTGTAATAATTCATTCTCATTACATTGTCAAATTATTCAAAGGGGAGAAGGGGAGAGGGTAAAGGAGAGCTACAGGAAAGAAATACTTCATTATTTGTTATCATTGTACATCACTCTGTATCTCTTGTATTTTCTTGATGGTCATGAATAGATGAACCAATATAATAAGTCCATTTAAATTAGTGATGTTAAATACTCCCATGTTTCAAATAATTGAATAGACATTTGACACTCGATGCCTTGAGGGGCTCTACATGTAGCTTCAGTTCTTCTTCACAAAATTTGTTTAAGAGGAGAGTAAGATCAGTGAAATTGGAAGGTTCATAAATAATAGGATTCACAATCACATATTTTTTTAAATATATCAATCTGAAATATAGTCCATGTTACAAATATTTTCCTGTAATAGAAGTTTGAAATATGCTTTTAATCTACATGTAATGTCGACCATGTTGCTTTTCCTGCATTTAAATTATAATACTCGTATTGTATGTTTCTCATTCACAGCTTGGTGGGGTTGGCCTTCTCGGCGTCTATGGGAATTCTTATGATTGTACTTGCATGTGCAATTCCTGGTTTTGGCCAGTAAGTAAACAGTCTCTAAAAATTAGAATGCGAACAATTTTAAATGATTTTGATAGCTATCGTTACATGTACATGTATCAGTATATCACATTACATCCTCTGATTCTAGGGAGTACTGTCTGATATAGAAGTGATTATCATTGGATTATCATATTTTGAAAGGTTTTGAGGTAGTTTTGTAATATGCTTTGCATATTTGCACTCAGGTTTCTTAACCCTATCCTTAGCCCTGTATATTTTTGGGGTGTTAAATAATCCTGTACTATTTGTGTAACTAGCCCACTTTGGTAAGACTGAGGGTAATTTTCCGGGGGTGATTGTTCAGAGGATGATTATCCTAGAACTGTGAAAAGCATATGAGAAAACCTTGATGATAATGTGAGCAAATGCACTATTAAAGTTCTGGTTAAAATGCATAACGTTCATGAAAATTGTTACGGATGTCATCAAAAGTAGAGGATGTTTGGAGCATCTAGAAGTTGAGTTTTGCAGGATAATGAAAAATTATTTTTAAAATGTTTAGATTTGGACCTCGTATTTATGAACCAATTCATGATATGAGGCCCATACACATCAACAGAAGTCATGAGCCATTTACCTATCAGAAGACTAGACCAGAATTTACCATTTCTATTTAACTTCCGAAAAAGAGAAGAAAAAAACAGAAAAAAAGAAGAAAAAAAACATGATCGTCAGGTAGATTATATGAATGGTGATAATGGCATGGAATTCCCTGGAATTTACTTCTCCAATAATGGTAATATTCATGAGTATGGCAATTTGTACCACTGTACATTTACTGACAAAATTCTTATGCTTTCTGTTCAAAGTGAACTTTGACTCTTTCCTTTTAACTTCAATCGACCTTTGTAATACTTTCAGGGATTTCTGTTATTATTGGCCAAATTTATGAACAATTCAACTACTTATTCTACACTAACTGTTTCATAGTACCTTTAACTAAACTTGAATTGTGGAGCAATAAACTTGACATGCTTTCCTCTCATTACCTCACTCCCACAGAGTATGGTGGCCCATGTTTGTCCTGGTATTCTATATTCTATGCCCAATCCCTATGTTGATCAGTAAGCGACTAGCCAGCTCGGATAGCATCGGTGCCACCAGCAGTGCGCTACAAGAGCTCTGTGTTTTCTTGACGTCAGGCATCGTGATGTCAGCGTATGGTCTACCCATGGTCCTCATGCACGTTGGAACGGTAGGTGAACTAATATCAGCCATTTTGTTTGGGATAATAGAAGGTTCTTTAGACTTTCTTTTATTATTTGCATAATCAACAGTGATGTCAAAATTTGTCAAGACCTGGTATCTGGAGAACCAATTTTGAGTATATTCTTTTAGCTTTGGGTATCGGGGTCCAAAATAAAAAGAAAAGACATCAGAAACCAAGACTTATCTTGATACATAAGTGACAATTATTGATGTAAAGTGTTTGGGCCAGTTCCAGTATAACCACTACACTCAGTTATGTTTTGTTTACCTAAATCAATCTATGGAGAGCGAGGTCTATCAATTTTGTGTGCTTTTTGCCAAACCAGAATATCCTGGGGAACTGTTGAGTAGCACATCAGTAGGATATAGCCTTGGACTTGGTTCTGACAGGCAATGATGAAAAATATCATATTTCATCAGCTTTGATTGCTCAACGACATCCTACTTCTTTCAATAAAATTCAATACTGGTATACCATGTGTTTTGAGTGGATAGTGTGATCTTGTCTTTGATTTACCAGTCAAAGAAACACAGTTGTACTACAAAAAAAACTGAATATTGTCACCTTTTTTATATCTTTGATACAGTTAACATACCAAGCCCTTCTCCTGGTTCTATTTGGCAACACGTGGAGCTTCATCACTATTCTCATCTTCTTCAGAATATTCCGACAAGACGATGATTTTGAGTTCCAGGTGTGGTGATTTACGCCATCCTTAACCCTATTCTGTGCACCCTCACCCGCACCCCACCTCACCCTCTTTTCACCCACATTTATTTAATTAATCCCTATTAATATCTTTAAAAGGAATGCCATATGTGATATCAATGATGATTTGTGTCTCCAGAGAGCCAGTAGGGCGTTAGCTTACATGCAAATCAAATTCATGTAGACTCAACGCCCTTATTGCTCTTAAGACATGTCAGCAACGTGGGCCGGAATACTATAATCTTGCTATTGTTTGGGTTTGTGGTCAATATAACAACAGTCTATCACGGACATAATTAAATGATGCTTTTGTTTATGGTGTATATATATCAACTTTATCAAGAGAGTTAACTCAGTGGTTACCATAGGAAGAAATGGCATTCATAGCATTTATCACCTAATTTAAAGCAATTATGGCTTTGTGAGGCAAAAGGTTTACCCTTCCCTTACTCAATGCATTATTATAATGAAGTCAATAGCATCCAATCCAATCCACAGAGTAGCTGATATACATGTAGCTCTTTCATTGCAGTTACAAACATTTCACAATTTGCTCCACAATGAAGTATAAGGAGTGCATTTAAACAACGATTTAATAAAAAAATAATTTAAAAACAGTCAGAAATAGCATTTGATCCTAGTGTAACTGGAGGGTTGACTAATGGCATGCAGGGTGGAGGGAGCATGATGCGATCAATGTTTAATCAATGTAACCTGTTCTGTTCAACTTTATTTAGTTTATGTTATTTATGATTTAACGAATGTACTTGCCTTGATGAAAGCCCAATGATCATATGGTAGCCAGATATTGAATAATCTTCAAGTTCAAGTTCACTGAATTCAATACTTTCATTGAAAATATACAAAGGTAAACAAATATATAAAAGTTAACAAATAATACAATATATAACATGAGAATAACACAAGCAGAGAAGAAATAAAAGAACAAGGGGGGAACAAATCTAAACATGTACATTACTGAGAGTATTTGGATACAAGATATGTAAAAGTCTGTCTCCAGTGATTGTATACAAAACTATGTACATTATTTAAATTAATGACTTTTTAATCGAAAGGGGGAAAAAGGAAATTATTTACTTTCAGCCTCTTGCTCGTTAGGCCAATGTGGTAGAATGGAATGCTTGCATGGATTGCTAAACTATCGGTGAAAGCTGCACAATAGAACCTGCACACTATGGAGATTCTTTAGCAGTAGCCTGAGCACCGATTTTACTTGCCCCCCCAAAATTAAGAAGTTATGCGCATGCAATGCTGTGCTACCCTAGCGAGAAATTGTGATTTCAACTAGGCATCAGTCATAGTTATTATCGTTGTTATTAATTACACTTATGATTATTTGTTATGATATTTTATTATTATTATTATTTTGATCATTGTTGTTTATTCGGTGAATCCTTTCTTGACTCATCCCACAATGTAATCTTCATCTTTTGTTGATATTCTCTATTTGAAGGCTTGGTGAAAAATAGCTGGTTCACTAATAATTGTTTCAAAAAGGTTAGTATTGTACAAGAAATACCTATGTGCGTAGTCTAGCAATTTTACCCTAGACCATGAAAGACAATTTCATTTTAAAGAGGCTGAATCTTATTCAGATTGGCAGCATATTTTTTTTTCTTCATTTCTACATGACTTGATTTGAAAGAAGTCATGCATTCAAATTATAATACATGAATAGGAATAATATATGGAATTTTTTTTTTCAGTATTAATTGGAAAACAATGAGCAATTTACATTGTGATTTAGAATAGTATAAATTCTCTTCATAAAAAAAAAAAATTGTAAATATTGTTATGCATGTACCTAAACAAAAATGATTGAAGGAATTTGATATCATTGTCGCCACCCATCTAATCTTGCTTCCGAGAAGATTATGAACTGATTTTTCAATATGTATTTTCAACATTAAATATTAGATTTAAATCTGTATCCTACTTGAAATCACAATTCAAAGCTAAAGCATGTTTTTAACCTTTTTATAATCCTCAGCAAAGCAGTGGCATAAACTTAAATTATTCTATCTTTTTCCCTTCTTCTTTGCTGTGCAATCCAGTCCTTAATATAGATCCATGGGCATTCATTGACTGTTGTAAGAAAGGATTTTCTGTTCGGCGTCCCCAAGCCCTCGAAGCCAAACCTGAATAACCTTATACTGTATTCTCATTAGAACATGGAAAACTGTGTGTACATGTAGGATTGTGCTTCAAGAAGCAATCGTATAAATCTTTGCTCTAATTGGAAATAATACTTCTGCCCTACTTTTACATCATGAAGAAATTGACAAATATTTTACACAAATTGTGCATCATCAAAAATTAAGAGATGGACAGGAATGTCTTGGTTAATTCTTAACATTCTAATCCCTTGTTATTGTTTCCTTCAAATTATTACATATATCGAATGAACCTTGCTTCTTTTTGTTAGAGTAGGGCACAGTTCTATATTGCCAAATGGAACAACTCCACTGTAATTCGTGTAATTTTGATGATATAAGACAAACATTAACTGCCATAAATGTTTCGTAGGATTAAATGATGCAGCAAATGAACATTAATTTATGACTTTTGTTCATTGGCATGGCAAGATATTTATGTATCATTGTACAAAATGTATATTTACATTAATGTAAATTGTTGCCAGAGTTGTTACAGTCATCCTGTGATGTATATATACAGGAGGGCAAGAAAAAATATGCTGATAATTTATATATTTATGTGTAAAACATTGCAATCTCCTTACTTTGCTATGATTCTGCTGTTGAATGTACATGTAGATTTGCTATTTGGATGCTTCAGCCAGATAGGCTTTAAATGAAACCTATTGTTGAAAAGATATATTACGTGTAACTTAATAAGCATGGCCTGAAAATGAAAAAGGTCGAGAGTAAATTATTCTTAATACGATACTTCTATCCCCACTTTGTCCTCTTTTTGTTTGCAAGCAGAGCCTGATACTACATACAGAATTTGCACAATTTTAATCAACAATTGAAGGGTATTCTATATTAAGTGTGTTTCTTACCATGAGCATGTGTTATCAAACACGTCTGAGCCTTTGTATACATAAACATTAATTATGTGTTTCAATCAGCCGACAAAATGAAGAAGAAAAAAAAATATTCATATTTCATGTATATGTAACTGTGGCCCCCAAAATGCCAATTGTGAAGGCTTGCCTGTTATAGACCATTAACAATGGTGGTTTACATATCATCTGTTTGAAGCCCAAAAGGTTTCAACACATTGCCTATGAGAACCAGGGCATCGTTTCACAAAACCATCATAAGTTCAAGTTCACTGAAATCCAATTGAACCGCATGTTAATGACTTTACATGCATTTCAATTGGATGTCAGTGGACTTATACTTAAAACAGTTTTGTGAAATGCTGCCCCAGTGGCCTACATGTATGTAATAAAGCCATCGTACATCTACGAGGAGTGTGGAAACATAAAAGTGTATACTTTCACATTGTTTATGAACTTACTTCAAAATGGATTGAATTAGGATTAAATGAGAATTGGAAAGCTTTGGTATTGTTGAACCGGTTAGAAGCACGGTATTTAGTGATCACGCTTTTGCACTGTCTAAGGTCACTCCACGAACTCACTAGGGTCACGTATAACACATAAAGGTAACCCTGTGAAGAAATTTATCCTATACAAACAAGACATGTAAAATGTTTTCATATTGTTTTTAAAACGGTGCAGCCAAATGAAAAAAGTTGTGGTCAATCATTAACGCCTACATTATTCTTTGTATTTATCACTTTCACTGACTTCACCACACAAATACAAAGTTCATCAATGGCATTGAATATAGAGGTTACAGAGTAAAGGAGTTTGGATTTCTTCGTAGGGTTTTGTGTTCTACTTGACCGCTTGTGAGTGCCTGGTTTGACCTTGGATGGTGCAAAAGAGCCTCACAGACTAGATGCAGAAATATGATCACTCAATACTGTGCTTTGCTAAAGCTGATTATGTTGATATTTCTGGTATGCGTCTTATAAAGTTAATGCTCATATACTCATCAAAAAGAATAGTGCGCTGTATTCAGAAATGGACTGATATCATATGTATTAAAGAAAGAGGTTACTTGTTATATATAGGTCTAACCCATGTAATTATACTTATTATATATTCTGATATCTTTCCTATGCTTTCTGGAAAGCATTTCTAATTATTTTTCATTTGTGTGATTTATTTTGCAATTTATTGAGCTTTATATATTGTCTGTTTATAGATAGCAGGGTGGTTAAGTCTGTGTAAAAGTACAAGAGTTAATGCCCTTCTAGCTCTCAGCTGAAAATATGTTCTGGTGTTAGAAAATCATATATTCTGCTAATCTGTATTTAAAGATGATTTGCTTGCCTAGTGGCAGTAGTTGAATACTAAAAAGTTGCAATTTAAAAAATGATGTTTAATGAATGCAGAACATCAAATTCAGCTGGATGTTTTTCATTCATGTTATAGTGTTTCATACATAAGAGGTAGCTTAAGTTGCTACAAAGCAAAATGCTATTTACATCATATTATTACTCAAACAAAATGTGCAGGACTGGAATGTTATTTTATTAGAATGATTTGTATTTCTAAGTTCATAATTTAGCTAATATTACTGCTTTGGCAATACTGAAGTCTCATTTCGAACACATGTATGGCACATAGAATTTAAAGCTTATCACAACAATTTTTAACCAATCATTGATATTTTCTTATTCTTTTTGTTTATTTCATTCAGATTTGTACATGCAATGTACTCACATTTGTTATTCTTCAAGAATTCTTATAATTTGTTTTCATTTTTTAGTGGAACATGACCCAAAATGGCACTTTATCGAAACATTATACATTTTGTGTAATGAAATACTCAGTATTGCACACTTGTAAATAATCTAGTAGAATCTACAACTATGTACAAAATAACAAATCAAAACTGTAAAAATAGAGATTATTGATGTCAGTTATTGTTCATGTCAGTTTTATGTATGTGGTTCTTTGTAATGTCAGCTGTGTAATAGAAGTTCATTAAATTTGTGGTAGATTTATAACACAATTCACCTGTTGCATTGCAAGTTGTGTTTGTTTTATTTCCAATTGGAGTTTCACCAGATGAATTTAACAAGGACTGCATTCTGAAACTAGATGGATTTCTGCAATATATTTACTTGTAATTATGAACTGTTTTTTTGTTTGTAGCATGTTATTTGGCAAATTATGTCTTTTTTTTTTTGCAATTTGTGGGGTGAAAAGGTGGAGGGGATCTTGTCCTTAACAAACCCTTGCCTTAAAAAAAAAAAAAAAAAGAGAATACAATAATGGGGTGAGTCAAGGAGGAAGAGGGCAGAGAGAGAGAGAGAGAGAGAGAGAGAGAGAGTAATGTCAATCAAATTATGATGCAGATAGATGGGGAATGGTGTGAATTATGAGTAAATTAAAATACCGTATTAGGAAACAAGAATGGAATAACGCTGTCATGCTTTGATAATGATGCACATTGTTAAACAAGAACCAAATTTGAACAATCCAAGACGAGGTTTAGTAGCTACCAACGAAAGCAATATATTCGTCAGTGAGTAGCTTTCTTTCATTGAAAAATGAACCAGTTATTGTTCATCAGTTTATCCATAAATGAAAAGGGAATAGCGTCCTCATTGTCCGTAATGTACATCGTTAAGACGTATACAGGCCACAGAACAAGACAATTTGTATTTTTCGGTTATGTGATACAGGCCTGTTTGAACAGTGCATTATTTCGTGTTTAACTTATTATCATTCATTGATTTATGTATTGATAATTCATAGGTAGGCCCTACGTTGAGTTATAAAGAATACTACTTCACAAACACATCCTGTACAAACATAAAATAACGACAGACATGAAACAGATGAAAAATTTATAAAAATTAATACAAAAATACACAAATCACCAGAAAATAGTTATGGAAAATAAATAATTTACAAATGTTATGATGTTTAAATCAAAACAGGGAGAAGAAGGGGGAATAGGAAAACGAGATTTAAAAAAACAAACAACCTTTGATGATAGAGTATATCATAACAGAAATATGTTTTAGTGTATATAATATCAAGCAGTGTATTCACAGAATATCGGGCACAATCAAATTGGGAGCCAGTTAAACAGTAATGATATTCTAATCTTTGATCAACCGATTGTCAATATGAGGTTTAAAAAAACAGACATTGAGGTGATTGAGAAGTATCACATCAAATAAAATAAATCTGACATATGTTATTTATTTGGTAATATTAGTAATTTCATTAAGTTGGTCTTCGAAAATTCTCCCCATGTAGTACAATACATGGACAACTAGTGCAAAATAAAGGCTCAATATTGTCTTATGAGGTATTACGCATTTACATGTATATCCTAGAGTGAGATATCTTCTTTTACTTTATATGGCTAGACCACTTCAGTTGTTAATCAAATAATACCCCTAAATTGTTTATATTGTCTACCCGTTGTTATCCAAAAAAAAAAAAACTAACCTAACAGCTTATTATCATTGTCATTACCGCTATTATTAATTTAACGAAAACATATTCAGCAGAATGACTACATAATTACTTTAATTTTGGATAACATTTTCCATTTTCATAGGCTTGGTTCATAAATCAATCACATCGCAAACGGTCATACGCAACTCTGGAATATATGGGGAAAATATAGCACCATCAATTATTTTGGTAAAAAACACAAAGTGAAGGTCGAAGAGAGAAACATCTAACATTATTTAGTCCATCAACTACAATTTTACATGAACTTTCCAATATGATGTCTCTGGAGTGAGCATGAACAGTAGAAAATAGAATTTGTGGAAGAAAAGGTCGAAAAGAGGTGTCTATATATCGAAGCTGACGAAATGGGCAATGGAAAATCATAATAATAATAATAATATTGGATTCTTATATAGCGCACGTATCGACCTTGCAAGGTCCTCAAGGCGCTCCAACATTACCCGGCTATGTTAGGCTGCCGATTTCGACGCTCACAGCATTTTAAGGAATTCCTTCCTACCGGTACCCATTTAACACCTGGGTAGAGAGTGGCAAATGTAGATCAATGTCTTGCCAAAGGACATAAAATCATCAAAATTTATGTTAGGGTAGGATGTGACAAATCTAAGTCATTATCTTCTCATTGCTCCAGATGGATTATAATCACTCTCGGGCGCGCATAAGGTCATAATGGCGTAATACGTGTATCTAACAGAAGGGGATACCATTAAGGAACTTCATTTGAGCGCTGCCTGGCAGCT